ATCAAAATTAATTTTGGTAAAGTGTAAGTTTAGCATACCCAAAGGTAGGGAGATCAAGTATGTGAAGCGCAGGATATACGCCATGCAACCATTCTGCCTCTGTGGGCAAGTAATGGGGATTAGCTTATTCAAGTGTAATAAATCTGTTAGGACGGCGTATTTCTCCGCCATGTTGAACAATACTGTAAGCGTGGTTATGATTGAAAATTGACAGTGCACTAGAATACGTCCATACATAGGAGTATAGGAAATTAAAATAAACTAATATACAATTTTCCAGGATTATGTATTTCTGGCCTGAGTATGATATGATATGTACACGGATTTGACTCTAAAGTGATTATTTGCTTTTTTTATTGTTTTCAATTTGGACAGGTTATTAAATTGCAGATCAGCCTTCCATGAGTTATCACGAGTTTTTAAAATACGTAGTTATGCAAATATGCATGTATGTATGTATCAGTTCCATACATTCAAACAAATACGTATCAAAGTACTCCATAATTGGTCCAGGTTCTCACGAGTATGTATGTATTTATGTGTAATTAGATAAAGGGGGCGGACATATGTAAATAGTTCGGGAGATTTCCAGAGAGAGAGTGACTTACATAACTATAAATTCAAATAAGTGAAGACAACCCATAAATCTATATACCACATCTTTTATGTATCACTTGATCGAACTACCTTGTTTGTCATATATTTATATTTGCATTTCCATGTACCTATGTATTTATTATGACATTTAGAAATTGTTCTTGTTTTTCATATTCGCATTATCCAAAAATAGGGTAGGAATTCCCCCATAAATAGATGTATGTACATATGCACTAAGGTTTCTAATGTAAGTAATTAAGATGGCAACCATTCTTAAGGCTAATCTTAAGTTTGTATGTTTCCCAGGTTACCCTTCTTTTCAGATGTATGGACATATTTGTATAGTCATAGTCGTATTAATTGGATTATTGCATTCGCGTTCGTATGTATGTACATACAATATTTTTCTTGTCTCATACATAGCGTCCGATATTATGAAATATTCGTCTACATAAAATATGTATTGACTGCATTTTCGTCCAGGGTGGAATCATCTCTTAAATGTCGACTTTCATTATGAAATCCTCGAATTCTTTAAACAAAAACTAAAATCTTTAAACATAATTAACTATACAATTTCTACACGAACATGTCAATAATCACCTTATAAATAAATGCTATAACAGATTATTAATTAAAGTTGATGATGCACAATAATTAATTATTAATTATGTGAATAAAACCCTTATTTAGTAAATACCATGGAATCTCTCCCTCCTCTCTCAATTCGTTAACAACAAGGAATTCGTATGATTCGCCACCCTGTCTAAATAATTGGACAGGAAACCACTCAATTCGCCCCCATCCTGAGCGCTGTTAAGGGATCGTAGAAACTCCAAGTTGATCCCACACGGTTGCAATCCCTTTAACAGCTTTACCCTGTACAAGTTCCTCTCATTGCCCCACGTCATCCGCTGAATATACAACCTTGACACCGTTCCCGCCCGCGCGATTAAGCAGACCGCGTTGAACTCGGCGACAAAGGCGCCGCACAATACGAGAATGCAGGGCAGCTTGAGAAGTATCCGGGCGTCCTCGCCCCCGTCGATCAAGAGATAGTACAGCGCACCGGTTGACATGGTCACGGTCAAGGCATTGTGGACACATGGGATCCACATGTCCCGGATAAATTCAGTCTCAATTATCCCCAGGACGCGGAGACTTTGATACATTTTGAGGGAAGAGTGGAATTCGAGTCCCCCGCGGAGCTGGGGTGCGGCCCCTTTTCGAAAGTGTGGAAGTAAGAAGAGCATCCAACCGTAGAGGGTGGCGATGCTGTACCCAATCATGAGAATGCACAAGGCCAAAGTAGACAGGAGCGTGGTGCCCACGAGGAGAGAAATGAAACCGGTGATGAGGAGGGTTGGAATTTTTACCAGATTGGGGTAAGATGAGACATTAGAGACAGAGCAGAGTAAGGTGTACACAGGAGAGTATGGCGACAACAGGGGGAATGATATCATGACGGGGGTAATGTAAGCGAGAATGTTGTGGAATATAGGTAAGGCAATGGTAGATTTGAGGAGGTGGCTCGTCACGGCGGAACCCTTCGGGGCGGATGGATTGGGGATGGATTCTGAAAAAATTGATAGGACTCAGACATATGTAAATGTGAAAAAATTACGTTTTTGTGGGGGCTTTACATACTCCGTGTAAAGCAAATATGCCGACAAGAATATTTACTAACTCATCTAATCCTAAGCCCAACTTTTTTAATAGCTCATTTTTTTACTCAATTTTCCCTTTCCCACCCAGCGGAACTACAGCGGCTGGAAGTGGTTTCTTTCGCCTTGCATTTCTTGTTGATCTACATAACTAAAAAAGTGAAATCCATTGTAAAAGGTATAACCAGGGTATTCCGACCTGGGTTTTAATGGGTTGGGTTTTATTGGGTTTTAATGGGTTTTAATGGGTTGTAAATGAATAAAACCCAGTGGGTTTTACCATGTTAAGTGGGTTTTATTTGGGTTTTAATGGGTTTTATTGGGTTTTAATTGAGTTTCACCTTAAAACTACATTCTAGAAGTTAAATACATCTCCTATACGTTAGAAGGCGTTATCTCAATTCATTCTAAAGTAGTCTATTTCATTACTATTCTAGTGTATGAAAATTCGGAACAAATCAACAATTGACTGCATCCTTTAGCATCACAGATTTCAAGTGTTATAAAACAAAAATAATTTCCGAATAGATACAAATTCCGAATTATTTTTGTTAAGTTATTACTTAAAACTAATAAAACCCAATAAAACCCATTTAAACCCAATAAAACCCAATAAAACCCATTAAAACCCAAATAAAACCCAATTAACATGGTAAAACCCATTAAAACCCATGGGTTTTATAATTTTTGATTAAAACCCTGGGTTTTTCCGAACCCTGGGTATAACTTAGGGTAAACTTTTGAGCTTGTTGTTAATAGTTCCGGGCTTCACTAATTCTTTCCTGGGTTCTCGGTTTTCTTAAAAGTACGGTTTCGTAATCTTTGAGATGTTCTTGACATTAGTTAATTCTATATAAAGTGGCTCTTGATGTTGGAATTCTTATTTCATATAAAAATGTAAATATTCATTTATGTCTGTACCTCCCAATTGTCTCTCCAAATGTAGAATTGCTTCGAAGCAGTTGACATATTTTGTAGGACCGGACCCACTTGCTAAGACGGCGGCAAAGGGCAACACCACGATCATAAATCCGGTAGAAAAGTAGGTCAGGATGAGAGTAAAGGGATGTTGTAAGCCATCCTTGGCCACATGGAGATGATAACACCGAACCAGAAAGAGGGGCAAGATTAGAAAGGATAAAGTGGCAGTTAGGGTTTGATAAGCGCGGAAATTCCGGCAGGTATTTTGCAGGGGCACGGCTCGGCCCGATTTTCCATTCCATTTTAAACAATACGCGGTGTACAGGGATGCTCGATGCGTTGAGTGGATCACGTTTCGCAATTGGCCACGATGTAGGTCGATAAGCATTATTTGGGGTAAGTCAAGCCCGTCTCGAGTCAGGCGCCAAGTTCAAATGGTAACACGCCACTTATGGTTTGATTTTTTTACGTTAGAGACTTTTTCCAAAAAAAAGTTTATGGCGAACGGTGCGTTATTTAAGCAAATGGTCAATCCATGATATTACTCTGTTACATACATACACCAGGAAACCCAGGAACATAAGGGGTTTTTACCCTGTAAACCCGTTTGGACGAAGGAAAGAAAGCGAGTATGGTATTGGAAATGTCTATGAATACGTAGTGATTTTATATACGTCATCCTAGCGTAAGCCATTAAATACGGAAATAAGTAATTGTACTTTGGTATGTACGAATGTAAATAAATAGTTGTAAATAGTCTGCAAAATCCTCTTTACTTTGGTATTTACTAACAATGCGATGACGCCAGCGATCAATCATTTTACATATGTACGTATATAAGTTGTCAAGTTCATAGGAGTCTTTCACCTACTTAATTGCACTCATTACAGATATGTATATGCAGCTGGTAAACGATGTTTAAATCTGGCATTTTATTGTAATTAGATGTGCAATTTCGGACCATTAGTCCGAGTCGGAATTTATTTACATACAAATAGCAGAATATGCATTGTGCATAAAATCGGGTCAGCGTCAGTTTAATTAGTTGCTACTTAGCCACAAGTTGCAACTAAACACCATTAAACTGAAGTTTTTTAAACCAAGGAACAATATGGGCATATACAATACACATGTACATATATGTACATACTGCACACGTGGTCCCGATGCCGTCGTTATACATATTCTTTTTTACGTCTGTATATATATGTGTACATATGTAGTCGCTTGGTGATATATGTACATATAAGGCACATAAACATTTTCTGCTCTGGGATTATCCACCAGGGATGTACATATGGTTTTTAAAATAAATAAACAAAGCCAAGTCATGAAAAGTCTGGAATTTTGCTCATCCCATGTTCTCAGAACACTTTAGCAATGGGAAATTCACATTATTCCTCTTAAAGGGCCCTCCATAAATGACGTTACGCGGGAGGGGGTGGAGTGGGATCTAAATAAGGCTTCAATAATATCGTGCTTATGTATGCAACCCATGATAAATGGAAGGGGTGTAGCAAATCGCGACTTTTACGTTACGTAACATATGCACGGCCCCAGGAATGCCAATTCGTAAATATGTACGAGTTCCTTTATGGTTTTCTGAAATATTTTATGGTTTTCTTGCAGGAATTCACAGGAACCCATGGTTAAATAAATGTTGTTAGTTCCAAGGTTACCTTCGGATTGCAATTAACGTGAGCTTTCCTAATTTGGACCGGATAACATTCCCATTTTACAATAAATAATGTTTTTTTCAGAAATACAGAATTTCCTTCTGTTCCGTCATTTGCAAAATTTTACATACGCTCAGTTTCTCTCAACTCGACAAACGGAGCGGATATTCTACATAACTCGTTCCTCATCATTTTGATAAGCTAAGGAAAAAAAATGCTGACTTCTGCCGGTGTCGGAATTCCATTTTTGGTCGACTCTCTTATTTCACGAAGTTGCACAGAGAATGAGCCAATATTGGCAGAAATTGTTCTAACCGAAAACATGTGCAGTCATACAATTTGTGGAGTAGTGCATTTGAAACAGCCAATAACGAGCAATACGGATAGCATTCAACCAAAATGGACATTTTACGGTAGAATTTGAATATTTGCATGAATGTTTAATATTAATCTATTCGTGTGTAACTCACCTAAAAATTTGGAATTTACTGAACACCAAAAACAGTGATTTAAAAATTTTAATTGAATGTTTCCGTTTTATAAATAAATATTGGACGAGATCGTCTAATTTATCGTCGAACGTGCCTATTTAAAATATTTTCATAGCTAAAAACATTTGTAATGAGGAAAAATTTGGAAAATTCTTATGGTCTCACAAATTTCACAACGTTATAAAAAAAGTCATGTTTTCCGATTCTAATTTATTTTCCTTGGGTTAAATCTACTTACATAATTAGAGAATTAATTACGTAAATATTATTACGTAAAATGTTAATACTGATACTTTTTTATTTTCAACTTTCTCAGCACTTGCGATAGAACTTGAAGGAAGGGTGACCATAACGTCGTCACGGGAGAAATGCGTGTCCCCAATGCAGGAACTGAATCCAAAGCTGAATTCCGAGTTGATCTGCAACTCGGAAGTTTTTGCACTGGTGGCTGGTTCACCCCATGGTATGATTAATTGGATGAAATTAAAAGACCCAAACCATATGCAAGCCAGATAAATTTTTACAATATTAATTTGGCATTTAAATAGTGCGACATTTACGCAGATGTCAAAATTTTAGGAAGTTTTGCACGACAGAATTATGCGAAAACCCTGGGGTTTCAAGCCGAATGTTTGCCATGCAGGAGTAGTTACGCGTTGCGGCATCCATAACTTGCGGCCTCCATAACTAAATATGTAACGCCGTTAATTTTGCCCAACTCTCTGTGCATGTGCCGCACTAATCGTTAGAGTCACTCTTTGAAACTAACATGGCCCAAAATAATCTAGGTTGAACATGGTTTGCGTCTTTATTGTTAGTTAAAAATTTTATAACAAATCCCACAATAATTACTTTCTTAAGGTTTACTTCGCACCGGGGTAAGGCCAAATACGCCCCAATTTTTTCTGGAACTTAACCAGACAACGTTTCCCTTTACTATCCAACTTCCTCAAGGCCAAGGAAAACTTATGTCAAGTTTAGAATCTCCGCATCTCTCAATTTCGTACGCATTAGTTCTATTCGCGCGAACACCTCGGGGCTATGATAGACTTGATTATCACCCTGTAAAAGTCTCGGACCAAACTTTAGTCACCTTTCCTACCCCGCTTGAACACATCATGGTCGATAAGTCTAATCAATCGTTAACCATTTGGCCTGCATCCCTACCAAAATATAGCTTAGACAAGGACCCAGATCTGTTTTTTACACTCTTCGCAAATTTAGACGTTCTCGATGACAAAATCGAGCTACTTGTCAAGTTGATTAACAGCCTAAAGTTTGTCTGGGACACGATGGACTATAATTTGGTGGCGTTTAAGCTAGGACTTCAGGAAGGAAAATGTGCCAGTCGGAAACATCGTGGATGGTTCGTTGAGCGAAATTACGGAATCAAATTGACGCCAAAGGATAAATCTAGTAGCGGATTAACAATTCAATATTTCGTAAATGTAAGTGCTTATAGTTAAGCAGCTTTCGCGTTGCTTATGATCTCGGAAATTTTGCTATCTTGCAATTTTTTCTTGCATTTCCCGTCGAGAAAGAAATCATGCCGAGAAAAAATACTTCCAGCCGTAATTCCATTCTAATTGGTGATGATTATTTGATGTCTTTAGGCAAACATATTTATGCCGTGGGAGACTGTTCCTAGCGGAACTATGGAGTTAATTAGAGAAATAAGAGTCAGAGCTGGCAGTTTGCCAGTCCCTACACCAAGTCGGGCGCAACGTTCAACCACTAGTGGGCGTCTGTCGAGATTTCTGTCGGGATCAGTGTCATCCTTGAGGTCATTGTTCCCCCGTCCTACTCAACAATTTGGTCACGATGCGAGTCTCTAGCATCCATAGAAACACGTGAGTTTGTGTTATTTATGTACATGTATACAATGGGGGCGCCAAACAAGTTCAACCCGGAATATTTTTGACCACCTCAGTTTATAAGACCAACGCTTTAGAAACAATATTCAGTGCGGAACTTTACAGATAAGCAAAATTCGCGGAATTCTGGGGTTCGCGAAAACGCTAAGTTTTCGAACGAAATCTGTTCCTTCGGATAAAAGCTCAGACTTTTCACGTATTGATTAATCGTGAATGTCGAGCGTTTTCTGGTGACCCCCGAATTTCTTCGAATTTTGCCCATCAGCGAAAGTTTCGGACTGAATGTTGTTTCCAAAGAGGCGGTCTTTCAAACTGACGCGACGGGTCAAAAATAACCTGGGTTGAATATGGTTTGCGCCCAAATTGTAGGCTATGGTTAAGTTAAACGGACGATTAAACATAACTATTTGAAAAACGCTTGTATCTGGATATTTTAAAACTAAATGTCAGTACTCATTTTGTAGCGACCTTATCTTACTTGAAAAAGCCCTTGGCTATAGCTTCCCTGACCATTTTTGACCACTCCCTTGCTGTGACTTGCCGTAAGACATTTGCTATGTCCTCCTACATACTTAGGAGTAGAAGGTCACTACTTGTCGGGCCCCGATTTCGATCTCCTTTGGATATGTTGTAGTACTACATGAGTGTAGAAAAAGTGAAGGATGGTTAGACTCCATGAGCCCATTTACGCCCGCCACACCCCCTCAAAGGCGCCCAAACCCCCAGAGTTGCCGCACTAAATTCATCGCAAAAAATCGAGTTTTGCTCAGATTTGGATGAAATTTACATTTTTGTGATCCCAGATAGTTCTTCTATCATATCCAATAGCAAACTCAACTTTTTTGAAATTTTCAATATTTTCGAAGATTTTCTGACCAAGGGTATGTATTGAAAAAATTCGAAATTTCAAAAAATTGAGTTTGCTATTGGATATAATAGAGCAACTATCTGGGATCACAAAAATGTAAATTTCATCCAAATCTGAGCAAAACTCGATTTTTGGCAATGATTTTAGTGCGGCAACTCTGGGGGTTTGGGCGCCTTTGAGGGGGTGTGGCGGGCGTAAATGGGCTCATGGAGTCTAACCCTCTTTCACTTTTTCTACACTCATGTAGTACTACAACATATCCAAAGGAGATCGAAATCGGGGCCCGACAAGTAGTGACCTTCTACTCCTTAGTTTTTTTGTGCGGATTTGTTTCCATTTTCGCTAGAATCCAGTCAAATTCATTGGGAGTATTCATCACAACTTCAGCAACATTGGCAAACAAATATCGCGTGTAGGCTAGCAACAAATTCTGAAAGGTGCTGTAAAATTAACAAAATTTGGTTTTCTAAACATCTAAACTTTGTCTCACAAGCCAACAATAAATAAATTTAATATGATTCATGCAATGCATGCACAAATTTATGAAATTCTTTAAATAAATTCGGGTAAATCGTCCGTCTTCTCCAACCGATGCCAAATAATCTGTATGTATGTATGTGCTAAATATTATTGGCCTAATTTCAGTACCTCCTCACTACGACGATGTAGCACGTGACGACAAATAACAGTCTCGGGTGTCATATAAGTACATATGTGCATACATACACTCTAAATAATTTTGAAACAAATCGTCACCCGCGCGCGGAGGTACTATACTGCTCTATTTTTGGGTAACGATGTAGGAGACGTTTTATCACCAGTCAAAAACTCATGCACCAAGCACACGTGACGTCGTCCTTTAAAAAAATTAATACTGTCATGTAAAAAAAAGTCTTATTGTCAGATAAAAATGTTCAATGTTTTTAATTACGACGTCACGTGTGTTTGATACACGAGTTTTTGTCTTGTCTCCTAAATCGTTACCCAAAAATAGAGCAGTATAGTACCTCCGCGCGCGGGTGACGATTTGTTTCAAAATTATTTACAGTGTAGATAAGTACATCTCATCAGAGTCTATGTAATATCCCGAAATACTTTTGAACAGGTTTTAATTTTAAAAGTTTCCATTCAGCATGTAAAATATTGTAAATATTTAAAAAAAAAAATGGCTTGTTGGATGCTTTTGTAACGTATGTACATACATATTTCTAAAAAAAAGTCTGGATTCAAATATATTTCGGAAGAGAAAGTTTGCGCTGTAATGTATTTAATTTATCATTTAGGAATTAATTACTAGATCATCAATACTAGTTTCAATCAAATTGTGTAACAATTATTATTATTTGTAAAGTCGTTAAATAAATAGGAAATACAATAAAAATAAGCTTTGATATCGAAATGTATATTTAATTGATTCATGAACAAATTATCCAGCATTACGATTACACATGCTTACATAATGACAATTTTTTCAAAACGTTGTTAGTTTGTAAATTCTACCCATTTGTATTCTCCTATAAATACACTCTTAAAAATTAACCGCATTGTCCACTCCAGATTAAACAAACTATACTAAACCCAGAGTAAACTTTACTCTTTATCAAGCTAACTTTACTCTGGATTTAGTATAGTTCACTTAATTTAGAATTCAGAGTGCATTTAATTGTTAGAAGGGTAACATTATTTTCAAGAGTGTGTATCAACTCCAGGAGGAAATTCGTCCCTTTTCCGCCTTGGCAAGACATCCTTCCGCTTCTTCTCCATCACGAGGCCGTGATGTCCCTTCAAATGAATGTAAAGCGACGTCTTTTTAGCGAAGGCCTTATCACACCCTGACTGATCGCATGCGAAGGGCCGCTCTCCTGTGTGCACTTGGCGAATATGAGCCTGCAAGTGACTATTGGATCCGAAGCCGTTGACGCAGTGGGGGCACGGGTATCGGATCGGGGGGACGTAGCCCGGCGTGTGGATTCGTTTGATGTGAAGAATTCTATGTTTACTTTGTTTGAAGGCTTGCTCGCAGTGGGGGCAGGGGTAAGGTCGCTCTCCAGTGTGCGTCCTAATGTGGTCGGTGGGTAGTTCCTTCCGGCGAAAAGTGGCGTTGCAATGCTGCATTATAAAGGATAGGAAAAGCAATTAGAAATTAATTCGATCTAAATCTAAGTAATTTAAATACATGTATGAGATACATAAATCGTCACCCGGTTAGGTGTGAACTAGAGTACTGAATTTTTGGGTATTGATTAAGGGACGTTTTGTCATCACCGGTAAACAACTTAACTTAAAATCTCATGTAGCAAGCAGATAATTAATGCGCCGTTATTAAAAAAACTCAATGATTTAATGTTAAAAAATCATGTATCTATTTAATAATAAAATAACTTTAAAAAAGCTTCCTTAGGTGAGGCGCAGCTAAAAGTGAAAAACAAGATTTCTGGCCTTATCTTTTAAATATCTCGTCCCCTCATCATTGTAACAGGAGATGGTGGCTTTGCATCACCGCTAGGCCAGTCATTTTAGCCATATAACATATCACGCCGTTTATTACACACCGCAACGATAACAAAAATTGCATTTGCCACTAAAAATTAATTAAAGCATTGCTAATTAAAATATATATTGATGCATAAACAGATTATTTGGAATTATAAACTTAAAATAGTTTATAAAAACTATTTCGGAGGATGAATATGATTAGATTAGCAAATAATTTATTTCACAAGCTAACCAGTACTTCAGGCAGCCAACATAATTTATGGATGGCCCGTAACAGAATTTAATTGGCTTGTACAATTTTCTGCATGTGTTATACAAACTACTTCAACCACCTTTACTGAATTTTAAAAATTTAAAGGTAGGATTTTCTTCCTTAAATAATTTACTTAAACAATTGACCAAGCCAGAGGCGGTAGTACGTTAAAGGCTAATTGTATTTACTAGCACAACTAGTTCCCAATACGAACGAGAAATTAACAAATGATAATTTTGAGAAATTCGTGAACCTAGACTTTCTTCCAGCGAGTTGCGAATTGTTGCGAACATATTCTTTATTGGCAGAAGCTTAGCGTAAAATGACTGGCCTCGCGGTGATGCAAAGCCACCATCCCAGCTAGAACCTTTGGATGATACTTTAACGTTTCGCTTGGCCACTTTTTTACGTTGAAGTCACGTTGAAATAAGGTTAACCACGTGGTTTTAACGTAACTTCAACGAAATTGTACGACGTTAAAATTACGTTAGCATTTAACGTTGAGGCAACGTAAAAACACCTAGTTATAACGCTACACCAGCGTTATTCCAACCTGAAAAAAGCGGACAAGCCATACGTTGAATTAACGACACTTTTAGGCCATAAGACGTTAATATTGGCATCGTTGATTTAACGTTTCGGTTCTACTTGGGGCATCTCCTGTTACAATGATGAGGGGACGAGATATTTAAAAGATAAGGCCAGAAATCTTGTTTTTCACTTTCAGCTGCGCCTCACCTAAGGAAGCTTTTTTAAAGTTATTTTATTTCGTGGATTTTAGGTGATTCATATTTTCAGACAATTAATTCCACTTGTCAAAATTTTTAATCTATTCTTCAAATATTCTGGGCTCTTTGAAACAGGCGATGCGATTTGATTATTCTTTCGATGCAAAGTTGGTTGAAAATACCTATATTAGGTAGTAATTTTTTACCAGGATTAATTAATTTTCTAGAAACACCTGGATTTAGGATTAAGATTAAATAATCTGGATTACTTTTTGTGATTAAGGACTGGATTTTAAATTGCGAAATGACGACATAAACATTTAAAACCAAAGTATGTGTAGGATATTCAAATATAAAATGCAAATACGCATGGTGGCGTATATAGCAATAAAACGGACAGCAAATTTGAGAAAGTAATTTAATTATTAAATTTAAAATTTTCAATAGAATTTACAATTATCCCTAGTCCGGATTAATAATCACCAATCGGATATTTCCTAACTCTGACCAGCAAGTGCGTGTCAAATGTTTTATACCAGAAATTTCTTAAAGATAACTACTATTATTTTTAGTAAATTGCTATATTGGCTGCTAATAGCAACCAGCTACATTGCAATTTTGATGAGGAATGCTTAGCAACATGCATAGTTTTAGATGCCTCCATCAAAACTCTTTCAGTTTTGAACCGATCTCAATCGGATTTGTTTTAAATGATGCATAACCGATTTTCACACAATAAAATCAGGTTTTATGCATATATTCCTTTGACACAAGTGTCTCAAATTTTGATTGTAAAGTTTCAAATTGAAATTTGGAGGCTCAAAATGCAACTTTTCGATCAGGAAAGCTGTAAAACCGCATCTCCTCAATCTCCTCTGCACGATTGCTCTTTACACCATTTGCGTAGGATTAACCGTTTAGGCTCTAGCCTTGTCGACAGTTTCAAAGGGTGTATACGAATGCATACTTAGGCTTCGCCGTAACCATGGTGACGCTTTTTTTTGCGGGCACCCATTGTTACTTTTGCCTCACCTAAGAAAAATGATCAATTTTTTAAATAACGATGTCACGTGTCTGTTTCGTGTAGGAATTTTTGACTAATTTTCTGACTGATGGTGACAAACGTGCTTAATCATTACCAAAAAATAGAGTACATAGTTGAATACCAGTGGTAACAATTTGTCTCCAAATTCTTAAGTGTGTGGGGTCATATTTTTTACTTACTTCACATTTGTGCGGTTTCTCTCCGGTGTGGATCTTCTTATGTCGATTTAGTAAATAAATGTTGTTAAACTTTCCACCGCTAAAGAAATAAGTAGATTCAATCTACTAGATTGATAAGGTTAAATTTTGTTTGGTTGCTTTAATGGAAAACAATGTCTGATAAGTAAGTACCACTCATCGCAGATGACGGGATCAGCACCATGCTCCTTGACGTGGTGCGACATGAGAGTATCACGGTCCGCAAATTTGTCTCGGCAAATTTCACATGTTGGTTTTTTGGATTCGTCATGCCTTTGTAAGTGCTTTTTGAGATCGTCAGGGAGACGGAAGCCGAGGCCACAAATGTGGCACACGTGGTCTCTCGTCCCACTGTGGACGCGAGCCACGTGCCGACGAAGGCCGAGCTGGTCAATGAAAGATGCTTCACATTGGTCACATTTCTCAGGTTTTTCTCCGGTGTGGCGGAGACGGATGTGTCTACGGGACAATAGTTAAGAAAAAATATAAACAATTTTCTTAGTAATGCAAATATTTTGCTAGCAAAACACGCATTGGGGTCTCTTAGCGTATGTATGCTTTCAGAATTAAAAATTAACACTAGTATGAAATTTGCAAAAATCTGGCAATGCTCAGGATAAGCTGAGATATTTGCATCCGCAGAGGAGTAAATTTGGACATCGTTAAGTTAACGAGGTTAACTCTGTCAACTTTAGAGTGCGTTTTCTTTTCCTTAATTGCAAATATCTCCGTCAAACCTGACAGTACATATCTTTCGCGAATTCAATATTAATTAAATTGGCTATCAATTGACACTAGCTTCGTCAAAATCCGCTTCATTTATCAAACGATTTTGATTTTTCACTATTTTTTACCTCTCTAGCCCCAGCCTATTAGAACAAGGTTGTCCACAGTGGTCACAATTAAAGCGTTTTGTATGCGTCACGACATGGCGCTGAAGCTTCTCGTCATCCTCAAATCTTGAGTCACACACGTCGCAAACTACCGGTTTGATATCTTCTTCCTCATGAAGTTTCACGTGGCGGTCCAGATTCTCGAGAAGAACGAAACTCCTTCCGCATTTTGCGCATGGGAATTTCTTCTCCCCTTTTTCATGCCGGGTGACCATGTGCGCAGAGAGGGCGTTTTCTCGGTCAAACTTTCTCTTGCAGAGGGAACACTGATGGGGAGCGACGCCTGGGTGGGTAACCTTCAAGTGTGCGTTCCGAGCACTATTGCTGCGAAATGTGGATGGACATGTGGGCACAGAACAAGCGATAGAACGGCAACTTGGCATGTGGCGCTTTAGGTCGGAACCGGAAGACCGGAAAAGAATGTTCTGGCGCAAGAGGTGCACTTTTTTGGTGACTTCTTCTTCCTTTTGTCCAATTTATTCCGGGGAGCGGTGACGGTATTACTTCCTATTTCGTTGGGAGCCCAATCGTTGTCAACAGCTTCAGATTTTGTATCGTCACCGGATGACGGTGAGTCCGAGTCGTCGGGAAGTATGGGTTTTTTTTACATGCATGTAAAACCTTCCACCGCGTACGCGCTGGGCGGGGAGTACACTTTGACCCCGGGTACATGTCCACAGAGTACACTCGGCGCGGGGGGGGGGGGTAGGAACGAAATTAGTTTAACACCAACACCACACACAGAATTAATTTGTTGCATTCTCATATCAACTTATCATAATCGATTTATTGCATCATAGCCAACAGCCTTTACATATCACAAATGATTACATAATATTAATAATCGTAAAATTGTATGAATTAATTATTACTCGGAACATAGGTCAGCGTATTTTGTGACTTTATGCCAAAAATAAATAGGTTATTCAGAACTTTATGTCGCAGAAAAAATAGCAATATAACGTTGCATATCAACTTACATATCAATTTACATATCAAGATTGATACGTAGTTCTACTTCATCTCTGTAATAGTCTTCATCTCCGTAATAGTCCATGCTTGGGCATGACTTCTCATTTTCTTCGTGCTCTTCCTCATCACTGTATATGACCATAGGTCTCAGCCTTGGCATGCTTGCGCTACTTCGTGTTGCAACAGAGTCGCGATCATCAACCTCATCATCTACTAAAATGGGTGAGAACCTTTCCTCGTTCTGGATACGAGGTGGGCGCGAAGTACCCGCAACATCTTCTTCGCGGTACATGACGGATGAGGCTTCTGGATCAGGATGTTCATCAAGGTGTTCATTACGTAACTGGATTCTTTGCTCGCGTTTCTCTGCTTTCTCTTGAGCCATTTCTTCATTTTTGTTCTTCTTTCTGACTGCCTCACATCGTTTGCTTCCCAACTCATGCAACAAATTCTCGTATTCCACAAAATCTCTTTGTTTAAAGCTGAGACGGCCCTCACTCTCTGTGTTAATTCGATCGACAACTTTGGAAGTGGTATAGTAATGTATCTTATCTTTCCTTTCTGTTCTCCTAGACAGATTCCACTCTGATGGATCACTTCCGTAGGCCTTCTTCAATAAATATTCAACAAGTTTGTTGGCTTGGACGGTGGGTCGCGGTCCATTCCAAGAAATAAAAGATTCATTGCTGAGATTGTCAACCCCCAGATTTGGCCGACCTCTTGAATGTTGCTTGATGACACTCCCCATCGCCTCAACCTGCGATTCATTTGATAATCGCATTGTCGAACCGGCCAAAAGGTGGTTTACATCCTTGTATGGCTTAGGTTCTGGCGTTCCAAATATTAAGCCATTGTAATAGGTTTTCTCTGTTTCCCGTCGCTGCGAAATTGACAGGGTTTGAAATTTGTCATTCATTGCATCGTGAATATCACAAGCAAACTGTGAGTATTGGTCTGCCAAATCATCAAGGTCAACTTCATCACTAATAAATCCACTTTTTCGTGCCTTGTCGGCATATGAATGTAGTGATGATGGTACACTTGTCCGTTCTCGTAGCAGAATGGATTTCATAGAGAATAACTCTGCAGCCTCGGTATTAATTGATTCTTTTGTGCTATTAAAACGCTTGTCGATTTTTCTTCTCATCCAATTTGCATATAGGCTGACCTGCTTCCTTGAGCTCTGAATGATAGAAGCAGTGTCGATTTCCTGATTATTGTCACCTAACTGCGACTGAGCGAAGGCTCGCGTGGAGTTTGCTACTCGACGTTGTTGTCTGTTCATAATTGCATTTCCTTGATAAGTGTGATATTTCTCTATTTCGGACAAGGCTTCAGATGTTCTACGGATTAGTTGCCCGGTGTACTTCCTGTTTTTGCTATTTTGTCGAAAGTCTGGGTCAATTACAGAATTCAAGTTCTCTCCGGAAATGGTGTCATCTGCAAGTCCATCAGAGATTGACTGTAAATTTCTCGTGTACTTTGAAATGACTTCCTCTGCTTGCCAGGGATAAATATCTGGCAGCTGGAGTGTTCTAGAGCATTTTGATACTTGTTCCATAATATCGGCTGCCCCGGTGGTTTCCACAATGGCTTTTACATGCATCATATCATCAAGATCATTGTCGCGTTCGTCCATGAGTTTTGCATACATGGCGGAATAATTTGAAATGTAGGCGTCCAAAACCCCCAGGTCATAGGTTGCCCATCGCGTTGCTGAGGGAAGTATAGGGGTCCGATAATCATAGCCTCCGGCTTGAGCAGTTTCTATTAAGGGATAAAGGGATTTTCCATATCCATGACGCTTATGCAGATTACTGATTTGACTCTCTCTTTGTTCAACCCATGAGCAAGCAGGATGGTGTTTTGCATCTGCAGCAGCCAACTCGAGTACGTGTCCATAATCATGACTGACACTGTAAAATTGACCTGCATCTTGATTTTGGTTAACGAGGTTATGAAGCGTATTTTGATAATTCAGATGAATTACAGCACCGTCTGCAGTCGATCCAACATAACTAGAAGGCAAACACATTTTACAATTTTACTACAATATTATGACCGTTATTATGAAGCCGACTTATAATGTATAAAACGTATTCTTACTTGTTTCTCCAATTTTCGACTGGTCCAAGGACACTCTCTGCAGCTTCCATAATATGATGAGCGACCCCTTTGGCAGAATGCCCAGTGTTTGATACCTCTTTTGCGGCTCCAAAGAACGTTGTAATCCCAGAACCATTGTACATGTTAACTCCCACAATTCCTAGTGTGTGGCGATTGGTTGTGTACTTGTCATACGATAAGCTATACGGACTCCTTCTGCCTGTCCCATCTAATTTTGATTCAGACTGAAGTCTCAATTCCGATCGAATAATGTTGTAAAAGTAGGGTGTCATGTCTGCAGCAAACTGGCGACTGTGATTTAGGTCGCCGATATCAAGGCCGTTTGCTGATGAAAATGCACATTCGAGCTCGTATGATTGTTGGCTAGCATTTGTATGAATTGACTTGTAAGCTAGCCTCCCCAGGCGCATTCCACGCTCATAATATTTTGGTGCCGTTTTGCGCTTGTACTCCTCTTCGTCCGTATTAACTTTCTTCTTCTGTAAATGCCCTTTAGAGGATACATGATCGACTGCTCCCTCCCTCAGGGTTTTAAATTCGGAAGGAAGCTTAGTAGGTTTCGGAAATGATGTTGAGTTTAATTTATAGTGCAAGACACCATCTACTTTTCCTTCATGTCCTCCACTTCGTTGTGGTCTTGGTGATGCACATAACTTGCAACTAATGCCATCAGGTACTTCACTTTCCGCATCTGGATAATGGTTCTTAAATACAGGTAAATGGAGTTTAATATCTTCAACGCTTCTGCAATGGGATGCATTGCTCTTCCTATATTCCTCCTCAATCTCGCTGTGGGATTTTTGCGGAGTTATTAACGACGTTGAACTTTGAGCACGACTTTGAGCAGAAATATTGTGTCCCATCATTTCTTTCATTTGGATCTGGTTATTAAGAACTTGGTGAAGCACCTCCAAAACCTGACAGTTTTCTTTTTTTAATGCACTCATCTCCTCCTCTAATTTTGAAATTCGTGCAGATGATTCAGGGTTTAAAGTAGAGATCTACAAAGTAAAAGTTGAAACGATGACAAAAATTATGCATATTAGTTATAACTCTGGCTTTGTTGAAATATTTTTTACCTGGGGGTTTGACGTAATGCTAGCTCGACTTGATCCTGGATCCCTATCGCTGGTTGGCAGTTCTGCATAATCTGCATCTGAGCGTGCGGTATCCATATAATCAGGTTGTGGTCCAATGTCTATCTCTCTTTCAGCACCCATCTCATCCTCACTCTGTCCGGCGCCCCCCTCATCCTCCCTCTGTCCAGCGCCCACCTCATCCTGCCTCTGTCCAGCGCCCATCACATCCTCTCTCTGCCCAGAATCCATCTCATCTTCGATTTGTCCAGCGTCGATGGTGGGCAGGGGGTCAGGGTTTGGGGGTGGCCGCTATTTTTTAATTCTTTAATTAGTACAAAGAAATAGTATGTAACCAGTTTTGCTTACGAATGTTAATGATCTGGTTCCAATATCCATAAACTTCTTCGCTTTTTTGTGGACATCTTCGCAATGCCTGCCCACATTCCGGAAGACAAATACTTTGTAACAATAACCACACTGCACTTGTCTTTGGGCATTTTTAAAGTCTACTTTCCTTACTCCAGTGTTTTTGGGCATTTTCAAACTAAATAAAAATCTGCTTTCTATCTGAATCAGTAGTGTGCAGTCAAGAGACTGATGAACAAAAGATCTGGAGAAGTTATGAATCAAGATGATGCATGCATATGCATGCATGTACATATGTATGTACATACATGCATGTAAATATGTATGTACATACATGCGTGTACATATGTATGTACATGCATGCATATCGGGATAAGGATGACATTTGATACAATTGTTATTGCAAATTCCATACATGACTCATTTCATCTGTGCAGCTCATTCATACGGAGAAAGAATCCTTACTCCAGATAGTTATTTTAATTATCCTTAAAAATGGACAACCAATTTGCATGTTCTGGTGGTGAAAATTACGACAGTATTGTGGGGTTTCAATCTGCATGTGCAGAATTACAAAAGGGTAACAATCTTTATGGAAGCAAGGATTACGAAGCAGCAGCCCAGCACTACAAGACCGCGTGCAATCAATTTCAACAATGTAAGAATTTTCTTTGACTTAGATACGTAAAGCTTAATGAAACTGGTACTGTATGTATATATGTGAAGGTTTGGAGTCGAATGAATTGGTCCCAGCGTGACTGAATTGATCCCAGGATAGGGATCGACAACCTCGCAAGAAATTGCCAGGAAATGAGGGACAATTCAATGCGATGCTTCAGAGAGATGACCAGGTCATCCTTTCCGGTCGAACAGCCCCTGGAACCAGGAAATTGCCAAGGTGTAACAACAAATACTGCTCAGGGTGCTCCAACGTTGCCACCACGGCCACCCCCTCGCCGAAAACTCCCCTCAGAGAAACTGCCTGATTTACCGAAGAAACATGTCCGCGAAGAAAGAGTAAAGGTGGAACGTCATCAAGTGCATCTAAGCTTTCTACGAAGGGGAAAATCGTACAACAAAGAAGCTATGGAGCTGATGGAGACAGCGTCTCGTCATTTCTCATGCTCTAGATATGAGGTAGCGCTGCATTATTTGCAGGTTGCAGAGAGAAAGTTGACTGCATGTAAGCATTAAACAATATGTACTAGATCGTGCGTAGTCCTAATTTTTGTACATTAAATTCTATATTTATTTAGGCCGCTACTCTTTCGGACTTTGTGAGAAGGAGGAAATGGCAAATGCATTCAAGACACTTGGTAAACAAGAACATTACTTGCAGGAATTACAAGAAGAGGCGAAGGAGTCTTTACTGAATAGCAGAATTCGAATTTACTCTGTCCCTGAAGTGCCCAATGCTGGAGAAAAAAATGAAAACTGTGTTTTACCACAAACTTCTCTGCATGAATTCGTCGACTCAAATATTTGTGAGATGTTAGCTAAGACAAACCTATCTAGCAAGGTGGATGCATCCACGCAAACCTCGGATGAACATAAACAAAAATCATCACCACACACGAAAAGTACAGAAGACTTTAAACAACTTACTAAAATCATGGAAACAATACTAGAAAACGGGAAGGCCAGAACCGTGCCGTGGGATTCCATTAAGGGTTATAATAAACTAAAACAAGATATAGATGCCGTCCTTGTTTTGCCAAGAATTATCCAACATTCTAACTCCACAACCCCCAGTGCTCTGATTTCTGGAGCTTGCTTTTTCGGAAGCCCTGGGACTGGTAATTTGTGTGTTTCACTCTTCTTTTTCTTCGTAGTTTGAATTCTAATTACACATACATGTCAATTTATAGGAAAAACTATGTTGGCACGAGGCTTAGCCGAGAGGCTAAGCTTCAGTTTCATGCAACTAAAAAGCTCCGACGTCACCTCTAAGTGGTGATCCGAGTCGCAGCAATTGCTCAAGGCTGCGTTCAAAGTTGCTAGTGAGAAGGGACCAACGTTAATGTTTTTCGGTACAGATTTTCATGCATGAAATTGGGGAAACTTATATGCATAGGTATACTTATATTAAAAAATTTATATACAGATGAAACGAGACCTTGCTCCCAGAAAGAGATAATAATTCCCATGATGGACCGGCACGCCAAGTCGGCGAGTGGCTGCAATTATTCGACGAAATTCTAATTCACAATCAGAGTTGCCCTGAAAAATCTGTCGTTGTCGTCTGAGCTACTAATCATCCTGATGCAATTGATAAAGCAGTGTGGTATGAAATGTTGCTTTTAATAGAAAATCAAATCTTTCACGGTATTCACTAATCACTTCCTACATTTGAAAAGGAGACGCCTTAGTACTTTTTTCCATGTCCCTCTTCCCGGTGATTTGGACAGAAGGATTCTACTTGAAGAGGGACTGGATAGCTCGTTGCTGAAAGAATTAACTGAGGAAGACTGGGAGACTTTGATCTTATATACCACTGGGTAATATAAAATATTTAGTAATTTAAAACTTTTAGTAATTTATGCAGTAAAACAAATTTTGTTTGCAGGTGGTCCAACGCCGATATTTCTACTCTAATGCTAAGTTTACAAAATTTCCGTATAAGGAAATTAGCATTCTCCGAGTACTTTGTGCAGAAAAAGTTTACGCCAACGGGGTCAGATACGCCGGTTCTTGGGTGGGAGCCGTGCGACAAGTACCATCCTGGGGCACGGGAAATGAAATTAGAAAATATCGAACCACAACTACGGATTTTACCAACGCCTTCTAAGTCAGACCTTTTCATGGCGGCCTATCTCTCACCTGGTTCGCTAAATGTTGGTGACCCTAAAGGCGTAGTTCAAGAAAACTATAAATTCGCAGAAAATCGCTCCCAGAAAACGTTAGATTTTCCATCATACGACGCTAATTTTGACCCAGAACAGCAGGCGTTTCGACAACAGGCGAAACTGAAGGCTGATACGCAGCAGCACGGTGGGACGCACAAAGTAAGTTTGCTAAAAACAATGCGATGGGAGAATGGGCGTTGGGTACCAGTAAATGAATCTGGACATTCCATCCCGTCATCAGTCATGGAATGTGGGCTTTCACCACAACAAAAATCCATGTTAGATGCAGAAATATACTGCGAAAAAAAGAAAAAGAAGAGAATTTGATCATGAGTAAATGAATGCATTTCATTTTATTCCCAGACGTGGTGAGTACTTGCAGTATGAAACAAGTCTGGCTTATAAAATAAACTACTATCAAATTACTATCTAACATTAACAATATCTATATCAATATCTACGTCCTCTAGCATGTTAAGATGCAGAAATATGACAGACTAAATAAAGAAAGTGTTCTTAAGATTGCCCAGCTCGCATCCCTGCCTTCCTTTTTAGCAAAGAGAGACTTGCAGACTTTTGCATGACAAACAATGATATCAAGTTTCCTTCTGTTGAAATCCAATGATTCACAGGCAAAAAGGAGCAGCTTCATCTTTTGCTGTCTATCCGAGTCAGTCTTTTTGCAGACCTTCATCTTGTACCATTTTTCCTGCATACATTACATACTACATACATACATTTCCATTTAATCCAAATTTTGATTCGGATCTTATTGTTCCAATTACAAAATGTCAAGACAAGCTGAATTTACACTTCCAAGGACGCTAAATTTTACAGCGTTGAATCCAAGGCCAGTTCATCACACTGGCCAAGATTTCGGTGGAATTTACCACCGTTTTGGGTAAGATTTACGTATAAATTATGCTCGCGAAATCCATATCTTTTAACCTTTTCAATTTATTCCAGACTCATGAGCCCAAAGGAAATCCTACTTCATGGAATTGAATTCTTCGGCCCACATTACACCGTTCAATTTCCTTTGGCTGCGGAGGTGACCTACGCCATTACGATTGAGGTCGAAATGATGTATGGGGATGAAGAAGAGCGATATAATCCATATTGCAACCTAAGCTGCTGCTTTCTGACTGTGTAAGATATTTTTAGTTTGCTTGTACATTCGCCACGTCGAATTAAGCTAATGCTTGTCAATGAATTAGCTGGACATGCATGGCTGACGGAGTTGACCGAGTCCCAAAAGTAAAAAGCATGGATAAACTTTTGCCGGAAACTACTTGGATCGTCACCGTCGAGGAGAATAATCGGGACATCCCAATAACAATTCGCCTGCAGCAGCCTGTCCGGATACCGGCTGGGAAGTTCGTTGTCATAAAGTTTCAACTGGATGTAAGCATGCTAAGAAGCTAAATAATTCTATGTAATAAGAATGAAAAACAATATCCATAACTTTGAACAGGGGCCTCCAACAGAATATTTGTTCTCAAATGAAGTGCACAGAACAATGATTGCGGAACCTGAGTCGGGAATTGTTTTCCACACTCTCATGGGGTCGGCCCAGATCAAAGAACTTAAATTTAGCGTGGCAGATGAAACCTGGGTGGAACAAGAGCAACAGCAAGAACCGAAGAAAAAGAAGATGAACTGGTTCCAGCGACTGATGGAATATATCTGCATTATTATACTTGCATTATTCGTCGAATGTATTTGTGGTGATGCTTGATAAATTGATTAAAATGAAATAAACAAATAAGTGCGTGCATAAAATAAATACAAGTACATATACAAGTGGAATTGGATTTTCTGTTCCTACCCCCCCCCCCTCCCGCTCGTTCATAGAAAGAGTCCGAGTACACTTTGTAAAAGTAGGGAGTACACTTGGAAGATTTTACACGCATGGTTTTATAGTTGGATTTATCCTTTTCAAAGACACTTTTAAAGTTGTCTTTTGAAGGAGGAGGAGTGGTCTGTTTAATTCGAGGAGAGGATCGAGTCTCGGACGTGATGGGTCCAATATTTTCCTCTTTGGGCGTTAGCTTTGGTTTTGGTGGTGGTTTTTCCGTTGGGGGAGGAGAATCGTCTTCTCTTTGTCGTTTTATCCTAGAAGTAATAAAATAGTGGTAAATAAATTGCTTGTAATATTTGTAACTTTAAAGCACATAAATTATGATGTATTAAATGTTTGCTAAAATCTATAACCCATTCATTTTACAAATTTTTGCTATCATCTCTTTGGATAATTTGTAATTAGGATTATTTAGTTGCATGCACACAGTTTATGAATATTTCATCAAATTTACTCAATTTTATCATACATACCGAGGTGCCTGATCAGTTACGTTAGATGTGCGGGGTCGCCCTCTTCCCCTCTTTGGCGGATCAGGAATGATGCAGAAGGCGGACTCGAGGTCATCCTCGACTTCATTTTTTACGGCATCCATCTCCTCCTTATTATCAATATCCACATCTGCTGTTGGAGATAAGGAATGGTTATCGTCCAAGAATTGGTCATCCGGTTGACCAATGTCCTCTTCAACTTTGACTTGTACATCACCCAGCATAACGTTGTCGTCTGTATTATCTTCTGACTCTGAATTGAAAACAAATGCAGACGATTAAATATAATTTAAAAAACAACGAATCAATTCACGCAGGCCTTTGTAACATTGTAAAATCCGTAAATTCCGTAAACTTCCAAACTTTTACACGTATTAGAAATGAAAATCAGCTTACAAATTTTTGTAATGTTACTCAGATCAAAGGAGCCTCGTTATTTTGGAACAGTTTGCAAAATTATTTTACAAGTTTACTACTGACTGCGTGAATTGTCTCAATATTTTATACTGCACTCAACCCGTAATTCGAAGTATTATGGTTCTCAATTTCCTGATTTTGTCACCTCCACTTCCTGAAGATTGTAACATCATTTCGCGAATTTTAGTAATTTTTCGGCCAATTTGCTCCTCCAAGAGGGACATTTGTAACCGGATTTGCTCCATCTCGCTTATCACGGGGGCGCAAACTGGACAAAATTCACAGCAGAAGCTGGCATCCTCTTCAAATTGTGGAGTAACTTTAAGTTGACGACTATCAGTTGGTGACGATAAGAGAAGTTGGCACAGGGTCGAGATTCTGGTTTCCTTGGCGAAATCCTGGATTGTGGGATCGATGACTTGACAACAGAGAAAGCACACTCGGCTGGTCATGATTGTCCTGAAATATAGATATTTATAACTTCAATTAATTTATCGTAATTTGAAATTATTATGTCGTATGTTCAACATATTTTGTATTTTGAATTTAATATTTCCTCAAAAGTGAAAAGTAAACATTTTCTAGCTCACCGTTCACCTGTTATGGTTGCAAATAAATAATACGTAAAGTTCGCAAAGAGAAGGTGACGTAGAAAAATTTGTTTAATTGAAATACACAGAAATTGTAATAATTAAATGCTTATGTGATTTGTGATTTGCAATAATTTTTGCAAATATTGTGCCGAGTGAGTTTGTTTTGTTTTGAGCAGATGAAATAAAATTCGTGCCAATGTGTCAAAAATGAGACGCGATTGTCAATAAAACAAAGAGATGCATGGATTTTCTCATGAAAAAGAAATATGTATGATACGAATGTGAGGGACATGAAAATGTTGATACAGATATCGGGGGTGTGGTAAATTGTGTATACTTTTATTTTTTAGAACTTTATATTTTTAATTATAATAGCATCATGATGATACCTAGTAATGGTTTAGCTTAATGCAAAAAATACATGACAATAATTTCAGATGTTAACAAATGAATAAATTTAACTAAATATGTAAGTATTTAGCTCAATAACAACCCATTATGTATTTCATTTCCTAGAAATCTAGACCACTTTAAGCGATACGACGGCCCGATGAACGGAAAAACGACGAATATTACGAAATACCCTATTTCTACCCAAGAAAATTGGTCAGGGGTAATTTTTTAACTTTCCGGATTAGGATTCGGATGAACACAATAGGTTGGAAACGAGTTAGGAAATAAACGACTTCTTGCCCCAAGGCTGCGAGTTCCCACTTCGAAATGAAGTGAACAAACCGTCGAAGAACTACTGTGCACCCAGTTTTCGTCGTTCACCAAACTTCTTATGAAATCCCACCATTTCTGATGAGTTCTGGGTGACTTTGGAAATCTAAAAAAATTGAGTAACAAAAAATCTTCATACAAATTTCAAAATTGCTACAACAACCAAATGAATTAAATTACCTGAATATTGATATTCCAGGAGTTGCCCCGTAACGTGATTTACACCCGGGTACGATACATGTTGTGCGGCAACTGCAGCTCTATCAATAATTGAAACATGGGTTAATTTAAATGGATAAAATATCCGGCAGGTCGTTAATTGCATGAGATCGATTTAATGGACGAGTAGGGCACCTGCTTCCGGTAGTGGAAGTAGAGGTGTGCAAGGTTATGGGATTTCTACTAGTTATTTTCAGTTCTCAGTCCGAGTCCAGACTTATCTACTCGTCATGGTTGTCTGTCTGGCTATCCGTCCTGCTCGTTAGTTTAGTCGGACAAAAATTTAGAACTATGTAATGTAGGTCAGTAGGTCATTGACTCGGGCCAAATGAAGTAGGCCGTGCCGATTTTTGCTTTGCAACATTCCAACTTCCATAAACTGACGAAATCGAGGGGAAAAAATCCAACCCGATTTTACGGCAAATTCTTCCCTGGTGCCTTAAATTCACGCAATTAAGTCATTTCATTACCTGAGCTGTGTTCACCATCTTGGCGACTTCTGCGAAGCTAACTTTTGCACGGGTTGTACCGGTTGCTGAGTTTTGAGTCTCATTATCTGGAAAGTAACCCACCCCTTCGAGCGGATCCGGACCAATGTCATCCTCCTCCTCATCACTAGAATATTCACAATGGTTTGGCACGATTTCGAAATTGTCGGGTAGGTGGTCGACAGGATGCGCGAAGGTAACGCGATTCCAGTCTGGTTGAATTGAAACACATTCTTCACCGTTGTCCTCTATTTTAATATCTTGTAGTTTAATTCTTTTTCCATGTTGGTCGGTTGTGTCCACTCTTGTCCAACTGTTGTTAAAGAAGTTTTCTCCCGTGGAATCTGAAGAATTCCTCACACAAAATACATCAAAATTGAGATACACACTCTAGGAAATAAAGTACTAAAATAATACCACGCGGTATCGATATGTACATATCCTTAGGTATACACATGTACATATGTAAGACTGACAAAGATAAGCAACGCCGTGTAGGAACAGCTCGGTATTAAACTTTTACCATATCGTTAGCCAATTTTGTCGGACCAATATAACTTTTGTGTCAAGTCACAAGTAGCGTGACAATGTCAGATTTGTAACAGAACAGTGCACGTGGTTAATGAAAAAGTTTACTTAAGTTTTTTACATGTTGAAATGAAACATATAATTTTTTCTAGCTTATGGGACACATTTTTTGTGTATATGAAATATACATACATACTCACCAATTCGTCTCCCATCGGAATTAAAGCTATCAGATAATTTCGTGCAATGTTCCGAAATTTCCTCCTTTTGTAAATATGACCCAAATTGAGGGAAGGAATCCTTTCGACGATCAAATTTCTCCGGAGTGCTCCATTCAACCAAAAATCTGATGGGTGAAAATGACGCGAACAAATCTTCGAGTCAGGCCCAGGTTCCCAAATTTTCTCGTTTCTCGCCTCTCTGATAACTTCGACCCATTTGTGTCGAATATGTGCATGCTTTGGTCTCACGGGGAATCTAAAATTTGAATTAATAATTTAGTTAACAAAGTCGCAGTTAATAATTAAACGCAAAATGATGGGAAAATTTGTATTTATGGGGTGCTTACAAATGATAAGTTATGTCCGGTGCTTGCCGATCGTGATACGAACAAGTGGGCACGCTGCAGGGTTGAAATCTGTAAATAAATACATACATTGCATAAAAATGCAGTGTTCATTTCACTTTTTGGTGTAAAAAACATGCACAAGAAATTACTGCAAGTACATTGTTTTTTGCAGGCATTACTGCTTCCATTTATTGCCAAAGTGTAAAAAAATGCAGAAAAGTTAGAAGAAATTAAACACTGGATTAAAACGACTATCAGCTTGGCTGTTAAAATATTTTAACGATGTTAACATTCACGTTAAGATTGTATGGTTGGTTGCCAATTTTTAAAATGCTAACAATTTCAAAGCTTGGTTCGTCACGTCATTCAAAATATATTAACGTTGATATCACAGTGGCAAGCGACTTTGGACCATTACGGTATTAATGCAACATTATGAAATGAATGTAATTTCAATTTCTGAAAAAAATTGAAAATCACCAACCTTTTTAACTTGCATTTCCATTCTAAACTTCCAGCTTCCATTTTTAATTTAAACGGGCGTCTAATCCTGCAGAATAAGAAAGAAAATGAAGAACTAAAACAACTAAAAATATTTGCTATTATTTCTACCGTTTTAACTTACGATATCCACGAATTAAATCAAATACAGGCAAAATTATGATTGAAATCTACATTTCACATTTTGCATTGCGCCGAGTTTGTTTTGTTTTGTTGAGCAGATGAAATAAAATTCGTGCCAATGATGAGGTATGATGTACTACCTACCGCCTAGCGCCTAGCTTCCTACCGCCTACCAGGTACTTTCTACCGCCTAAAGACCTAGCGCCTACTTCCTAACGCCTAAAATATCCACCGCCTACTTCCTAACGCCTAAACGCCTACCGCCTACTTCCTAACGCCTAAACACCTACCGCCTACTTCCTAACGCCTAAACGCCTACCGCCTACTTCCTAACGCCTAAACACCTACCGCCTACTTCCTAACGCCTAAAATGTTTACCGCCTAAAAATTTTTTTTATTACCTTTTTAAACGTTTTACACTATTCTATTAGTGGGGCACTTTGAGATTTTTGTAAAAATATCATGGAAATCATAATTTCTTCTTATCACAGTGCGTCACTATGAGATTATTGGGGCAAAGTGTAGCATGGATTATCGAAATTATGCCCCGTATTGGGATATCGTTCGTTTTTAAGCGAGCGAAGCGAGCAGGTTAGGTTAGTTATACTAGGTACGTGGAAAGCGTGAAATATTCAGCTAGGAGAGCTAGCAAGGAGATCTACCTAGGATAACTAGCTAGAAGTCCTAGCTAGTCGAGCTAGCCATAAGTCCTTGCTAGGAGAGCTAGCTAAAAGTCCTAGCTAGTCGAGCTAGCTAGAAGTCCTAGCTAGTCGAGCTAGCTAGAAGTCCTAGCTAGTCGAGCTAGCTATAAGTCCTAGCTAGAAATCCTAGCTAGAAGTCCTAGCTAGGAGAGCTAGCTCGTATTCTTAGTTAGAGATATTAGAAATTTAATTGTCCTCAAAAATTTTCAAACCTGGGGGAAAGGCAGACAAAAGGGTGTCGCAACTTTGTAAAAAAAATCGCTTTTTCCGCTCACGATTTTTTCGCTCTTTTTGTAAACCGCACTGCGCATGCGATTCCGATCTTTTTTCCGCTTTTTCTGCTCAAAAATAAAATCTACTTTAAGATGATTTTTTCGCTCTTTTTACTGCTTTGAGTGAAAAATCAGTCTCTCAGAGACATGTTTAAGGGGACATCACCCGATTTTGATGCCCTATGGAATATATTGCAATAGCAGGTGAGTGTAGGATAAGTGAAGGAGGATTTTACTCCATGGCCCCACCTGCGCCCGCCACACCCCCTGAAAAGCATTGCGACGACTAAAACTACCGCATTCAAACCTTTGCCAAAAATCCTATTTTCATCCCATTTTGGTAATTTTTGGATTTACATGATCTTAGATAGTTGTTTTATCATATCCACCATTGGTTTTGTTGTGTACGTTTAAAACGGGGCAAAATGAGACGTGGGATAATGTGTTACAATGACGGGAAAGTGCTCAAAGACGTTGTGGACGTGCCACAGACAATTCCGTGTGTTTTCACCCCTTTGCTACATTTCGTTTGCAACGGTTTATTGACATATCAAAAAAGCATGTGTAGTGTGTGGTTAGATATCGAGAAACTACAATGCCCATCTTCGAACTCATCCCATCCCCAAAAATTAGAAACACGTTGGCGAAAACCGCATATCGAAATTCGAATCCGTTCTAAAGTTATCGACGGTAACTTATCCTGGAAACGGACGGACGGACAGACGGACAGACAGACAGGACATTTCCATAAAGAGGTTTTCACCCCTTAATTATGGGTGCAGTTGCTTTTAGCTTACCTATTGTGGTTTGAACTTTCACCGTACTTGTTTCCCATGTATAATTTTATCTAACTTTACACCTTCGTACAAGTAGTGCTGAATAAAACGTTTTACTGATATGGATGATGTGGGGTAATATATTTTTCAATTTAGGGTAATTTGAAAAATTTTCTACTTGAGGTAATTTGAAAAATCTTCAATTTGGGTAATTAAAAAAAATTCAATTTGGGGCAATTTGAAAAAATTTTGAAGTTTAGGTAACTTGAAAAGTCTTCAATTTGGGGTAACTTGAAAAATCTTAAATTTGAGGTACTTAAAAAAATTTAAATTTGGGGTAATTTGAAAAAATTTTCAATTTTGGGGTAACTTGAAAAAAAAATTTGGGGTAACTTGAAAACAATTTTTGACGGCCAGGTTGAGTCGGCTAACGGCTGACGGCTAGCTTGACTGTTTGACGGCTGACGGCCCAGGTTGAGTCGGCTGACGGCCAGATGGCACCTCATATGCCAATGGGTCAAAAATGAGACGCGATTGTCAACAAACAAAGAGAAATGTATGCATTTCATTTCTGCATGAAAAAGAAATAAGTATGATGCGAGGTGGTGGGGTATGAAAATGTTCTAAAATGTTAATACAGATATCGTGGGTGTGGTCAATTTTGTATACTTTTATTTTTTCGAACTTTATATTTTTAATTTCAATAGCATCATGATAATAGTAATGGTTTAGCTTAATGAAAAACATACATGACAAGACAATAAATTCCTATCCTAACAAACGAACAAATTTTGTAAGTAGCTCAATAAATTATTGACAATAACAACCTATAAATGTACACGTATTTCATTCCCTAGAAATCTGATCTGGTCCACTTTCAACCATATCCGATGATCGAAAAAACTACGACGAATATTAAGAAAAACCCTATTTTTACCCCAGAAAATTGGTCGTGGGTAATATTAACTTTCCGGATTAGGATTGGGGTGAACACAATAGGTTGGAAATGCGCAACTAAGTAAACGACTTCTAGCACCAAGGCTACGAGTTCCCACTTGGAAATGTAATGAACACACTGTTGAAGAATTACTGTGCACCCAGTTTTCGTCATTCACTAAACCTCTTGTGAAGTCCAACCATTTCTGAAGTGTTTCGGGTGCTTTTGGGAATCTGAAAAAAATAGAGTAACAAGAAATCTTGGTACAAATTTCAGTTTTTAAAAAAACTTCAGTTAAAAAATTAGAAATTGTTACAACAAACAAATGAATCAAATTACCTGAACATTGATATTCCGGGAGTTACTCCGTAACGTGATTTGCACCCAGGTACGACACATGTTGTGCGGCAAGCGTAGTTCTATAAACAATACATAAGTAATTGAAGACTTGATTGAATTTAAATTAATAAGATATCCGGCAGCTCGTCAATTGCATGGTATCGATTTTACGGACTGATTGGGGAACCCCCTGCTTCCGGTCGGTTCCGGAAGTAGAGGATGTACCTGCTATTTTCAGTTCTCAGCCCGAGTCAGGACTTACTTATGTACTCGTCATGCATGGTTGTCTGTCTGAGTATATTCTGTCGGAGTATACTCAGACAAGTCGGATAAAAATTTAGAACCAGACTAGGTCCCTGACTCGGGCTAAATGAAGTTTATGTACCATATAGATTTCTTGCTCTACTTTGCAACATTCAAATTTACAGGGGAAATCAAGGGGAAATCAAGGGGAAACGTCCAACCCGATTTGAAAATAAATTCTTGTTTTCCTACCTTGCATATGTAAATGCACGCAATTTAGTCATTTCGTAACGAAATTTTCCTTACCTGAGCTGTATTCACTGTCGTGGCGACTTCCGCCAAATTAATTTTTGCCGGGGTGGTATCCGTTGCGGAATTAGGTGGATTTTGAGTGTCATCATCTGGGACATAACCCACCCCTTCGAGCGGATCAGGACCAATGGCCTCCTCCTCCTCATCACTAGAATACTCATAAGTGTTTGGCACGATTTCAAAATTGTCGACAGGCTGCGGGAAGATGTCGCCATCACGTAGAATCCAGACTGATTGAGTTGAGCCATATTCTTCTCTCTTGTCCTCCATTTGAATATCTTGTATTTTAATTCTTTTAGCATGTTCGGTGGTAGGGTCCACTACAATCTTGTTTTCTGCCGCTGGATTTTACAGTACCACCGTTAAAACAAGGTACATGCAACTTCTTAGAAGGCACCACGTGGTATTAATTTTGACTACCAAAATGGTATTGATCCGAAATACGGTGTGGTAATAGCTGGGTATTAAAAAACCATATTGGGAGCAAATTTTCACGCACCGTTGTAATTTTAATACCAAAGCGGCAGCAGTAAGCTGAACACTGATAAACCATGTCAGATTTGTAACAGTGCACCTTTTTTATGAAAAAGCGTTTATTTTTTTTAAGTTTTTTGAAACATACGTTGAAACGTCATTTTGAGCTTAGTGGGCAATTTTTTGTTATTATTCAAATTACCCTACTTGTTGACATACTAAACTACTCACCACTTCGTCTCCCATCGTAGTCAAGCCTGTCATCTAATTTCGTACAATGTTCCGAGATTTGCTCCTTTTTTTCAGTATTTTCTGCGACGAAACCCAAATTAAGGGAAGGGATCGCTGTGACGATCAAATTTGTCCTGAGTGCTGCATTCAACCGGAAATCTGATGGGTGAAAATGTCTCGAGCAAATTTTCGAAACGTCAGGTTCAGGTTCCCAGTTTTTCTCGTTTCTCGCCACCCGGATAAACTCAACCCACTTGTGTCGCACGTTGGCATGCATTGGTCTTTTGGGAAAACTGAAAATTGAATTAATAAAGTCGAAGTTTATTAATCACCACAAACCTAAAATGAATTGAAATTGTGTATCTTTACAAATGATAAGTTATGTCGGGTGCTTGGCGATCATGGTACGAACACGTGGGCACGCAGCATGGTTGAAACCTATAAAAAATATGTAAGAATGTAATAATCCATGTTTGCTGTAGAAAACATATGCAAAAATTACATTGCCTCTGCATGCAAATTGTTTTTTAGACATACAACAATTGTCAACTGTTGGCAAAAAAAAATTTGGTTCATAAAACTTGAATTTTGACTGTTACCGAGATTTTGCATCATTCGAATTTCTTGCACGAAGTGCAAGTAATGAGCATCATCTAGCGAACAATGGATTAACGGTGAACCGCATATGAATTTCTTGCAGTTTTTGCAACTTCCATTTATTGCTAAAGGGGCCGTGCATAAATTATGTAATGCGATACGGGGGTCCTCAGAGTTGCGTTACAAGGTGTGAAAAGGGGGGTCCAAGGCTCCAATTATATCGTGCCTACATATGCGAGTGGAGTGACACATGTTAAATGGAGGTCTACAAATTCGCGATTTTTTCCTGACATAATTTATGGATGTCCCTTTGGCAGTTAAAATGTTTTAAGTATGTTAATATTCACGTTAACATTGTAAGGTTGGCAATTTTTAAATTTTAGCAAAATTAGTTCGGTACCCTATTAAGTTAAAACTATATTCACGTTGATATATTTACATATCACGGACACGGACGCCTTTCGAACAGTGCGTTATTAATTTAAAACATATGTATTCTTAAATGAATGTAATGCTTGAAAAAAATCACCAACCTTCTGCAATCCCTTAATTTTTTACACTTCCATTCCAAACTTCCAGCTTGCATTTTTAACTTTCATGCTGTTTGTAATACTGCGGATTAAAAAAATAAATGAGTAACTAAGAGAATGTTTTAATAGATAAATATTTGACATCTGTGTAATTACCTACTTACGTAATAATCGTTTATTGGCATCATAAAAATATTTACCTGCTTTGATTGCACTTCGGACTAATTGGGTATCAATTTAAGTATGTAGGAAAGCAATAACAAATATTCAAATTTTTACATGAAAAATAAAAATTGTGATTATGTACGTATTTATACCGTTTAAATTGACAAGATCCACCCACGAACTAAATCAAATACTTATTTAAATCCAGCTTTAGAGCAGATATTTGTATATATTTTATTTCTATGCAAAAATTTATTATTTGCTTTTTTTATAGGAAAATGATAGTACTTTATTAAATATTTTATTTCTTTTATTTGTGAGGGAGCAGATGTTCAGTGAAATTGTATATTTCGCTCTTCACGTTTTCATGGTGAGATCGAATTGCGCAAGAAAACTGAATGCACATCATAGAGTTTTATTAATATAAGGATGCACATGCACTACGATATTTTCATGAAGTTTCATGCAACGTAAATATATACACAGGGTGGTTTAATTAAATGTCAGATTACAATGGAAAATTTTTCAATGGGAAACATTCGTAAATTTCCATTAGTTACGGATTTGGGATTGAGATTTTTATCAAAACTCATGGAACAGTGACGACAAAATTATTAAAATATTGAATTTCAGAGGCAAAATTTCGGTAATTAATGGAGATTTGCGAATTTTTCCCATTGAAAAATTTTCCACTGTAACCTGACATTTAAACCACCATGTACTTCGAATTGTTCAGTTTTTGGAATTACAAAAGTTTCATTAAACTTTTTATTAGGTGTTTTATCAGCTTGCATTATTTTGGACGCATACATACAATACATCTATATTTTTGTATGTACACTATTAAAAGGGTGGTGAAGTCTCATACACATGTTTATACTTCGTGGTGGTATTTATTTGGTAATATGTTCTCCCAGGATTGGTAATTCTGGGTGCCGACGTCATCTTTCTCAGATTTCCGTCCGTAAAGCGTCTGAAAGCATTCTTCGTTAGCTGCGCTGCGGCCTCTTAACACCAACACGTTCTCCAATATATTTATATTATACAAATTAAATACATATGTGCATGCATATTTCAATATCTACATATATGTTTTCTTATCCTCTATTTATGTGTGGATTGTGTCATTTTTTAACTCGTGCTGAGCATAGGTTCGTCGAAGACGAAGTACCAAAAATTCGGTTTTTTGTCTAATCTTAAAATTTCAACTTTACATATGTATGTACATAAGTAATTATCAACCCTTATTCTAACAACATTCTTTTAAAATGTTCACTCTTGAAAATCCACACCAACAACCTCCCAACCTTCCAACAATGAATTAAAACCTTAAAAAATCCTCGGCTCAGCTCAACAATGAAAATCATAGAAGCGAACAGTATTGCAAACCCCCAAAACATGAAAAATGTCGACAAATTTTCCAGACGGATAACATCCGAAAAGTGATCCTCTACCCCAATTTTCTGAACACCGATAGCCTGGACAATTTTAATAAAATTGTACCATATTTCCTCCCACATGTTCAAAATTCCAGATTCATACAGTAAAGTGTGCAGTCTGATTACTACCTCTTTATGTGGTACATAGAAAAACCAGTAAAAATGAAGCCGATCACCAACTCGTAGAACGTGACATTTATGCCGTTTCTTCACAAGTCTAACGAATAATTCTATTTCCTCAGAAAGTAATACTACTTCTGGTTCCTTGCGTGCACTAAGGTAACATTGAAACCTGTCTTCGTTGCTGAGCATATTTACCATAGTATCTTTCCCACGCTGAGTTTTATAAAAATTTGCTAATAAATTTAAACTAGTGTAGATGAAAGAGTCATTTAGTTTGTTGGAAACCCCACCTTTTTTAAATTCCTCTATTATTCCTTCTTCCTTCCAAATCATGTCTTTGTCATAAGACTCGATATCATAATTAATTACGTACCCATTCCTAACTAATTCCCCAACGTCTTGGAATTTATGCGGTGCAATGGGCGCTAGCAGTTTTCCCGTTATTATGGATTCATACAAACAAGGAATTAATTGACTTAGCAGGCCAAACAGACAGAAACGCTGGGTATACTCTTGAACCCCGTTGCGAATTAGGATCGAAGTTAAAACATAAATTTGATACGCATACGCTCTAGCAACTTCTCTGACTGAAGTTATTTTTAAATTAAAACTGTTTAGTGCAATTAGTAGGACCATTAAAATAAGCAAAATCCACATGAGCTGATCAAATGGAGAAAGCCATACGTCAATAGATGCATTTTCAGTGCCAAATATGTCATATTTTTTGCAGTAAATTATTCCAGGACGGGTTTGTCTTCCTACTGCTAATGCAGCTACGTCATCTGTACTATATTTAACCACGAATCGCTTTTCTGCCACAAACTTTGGAAGATAATCACCATCTCGACCAGGTTGTTGATTCCCCCAAGAAGTAAGCGTTAAGTTGAAGTAACCCTCCATAAATAAATACTCGATTTCTTCGTTCTGGCAAAATCTTTGCTGTGCGGCAATATTTTTTCCGCTGTATGTACTCATTCTGGAACATGTTTTGCTAAACATATTATTCCCCTGGAATGGATAGCCGACTTTCATCCGTGAAAAATCGCGATGTTTAGGCTGGATCAGGCTGCCCCAAACATCTGAAATTTGATGATATCTGTCCGTAGTTTTAGAGTATTCCAACGTGACCCAATCCCAAATATGGACGAAGATCTGGGTTCCCATGGTCACCCAAATTCTAGGATTTTCTGCTGGTGGGTTGAAGTCAGTGACGACTACAATTGTAGTACTCGTAGACCAGGAGTAATGCTCGAGAAGAAAATTGTATTCATAGCTTGGATTGAGGATGAAGTATTGCTCGAAAATGAAGACATAGGTGCACGGCTTGGAAAATCTATTTGAAAATTTCCTGCTAATCGGCTGTTTCTCGTCGAGACGACTTTTCATGTAAAAAGTCCAACTGAGTCCAAGGTTTGAGGTGGATGATTGAGTCGTAATCCAATTGAAGGCTAAATGGCTCACTGCATTTACTGTTGTCAGGATGAGTTTGCATTCGAAATTAGCATCTTGTGGAGTTTTGAGTGTGCTAAGCTCTTCATCCGGTAAACGAGGGTCATTCGACTTTACAGGATGTGAAATTTTCAAGTTGCAATTTAGAACACATCCTGCCTCTCCTGTAGGACATTTCTCTCTTCGACAAATCGAAGTGCATCCTTCCCTGCCACATTCTTCACTGGTGTAGCACCAATCGCCACTGTTGCCCATGCAGTATGTGCATTTTGGACCAAAACCACAATTCGCACTACCTCGAGGAGTGTAGTAATCATGCGAACAATCCGGGACGCAATCAAGTTGATGATCCTTGCAAGTTATATTTACACAGGTATTCATCTCCAAGCATTGATCTCCGGTGCTGCAATTAATTCCAGTGTAACACCAAAGACCACCGTTTCCTTTGCAGTATCGCCAACATCGTCCCGAAGGTTTCCATCCAGCTGCGCAGCCAGAACTTCCGTGTGGGGAGTATTGAATTGTGGGGAATATATTTATGAAGAAAATTAAGAGAAATACAACTGTTCGAAATACCATTTTAAATTTTTGATGGAAATTTTGAGGAGATGAATTTACTGGAGGAATGTTGTTTATGCAACCGATTAACTTAAGCTGGCTAGGGAATTGACGTCAGAGTCAAAAGCTTTCAATTACTTAGGAGATTACATAGCTACATATATAGGGTGTACCACAAATAAAGCGAAAGACTCAAAATTCTCGCCTCAACGCATTACAGATTCGTCAGGGTATGCTACCCCGGGTTTTGGGGGTATTTGGGTTTTAGTGGGTTTTGGGGTAGCAAATTTGAGCAATACCCAAGGGGTAGTTGGGGTTTTCAAATTTTACAAAGTATGATAATGGATTTACTAACAATTCCACAATTTTATAAGTTACTAAAATAAAATTAATAAGCAGGTTTGTTGCGAAATTGCTGAAAAAGCTGATTCTCTTCATAACTAATTAACACATGAGAGTCATGAGGCACTGACTCATTTTACCCCCAAAACTCCGACTACCTGCAAAACCCAGGTAAAATGCCTAGGTATGGGTTTTCAATAGCAAAACCACGGGGTTTTCCTTACCCAGAGCTTAGTCCCTTCGCTATCCACTTCAAATACTGTCAGTTACCGATCTACAAACCAATCTCTTGTAACCTTGGGTATTTATCTGTAACGACAGTCATATCTGTTAATAATCCTGAATCTTGCCCACTATACTTGTGGAACAACCTATGTATACATAAATATTTAAATATGTATTACATATATATGTCCACGAGCAGCACGAACCGACACGAGTATATAAGCCCATCCTTCCAATCTAATTATTTCAGAGGGAACTTCATTATCCTAATGGGCTAACCATTCATTTGACCCATATGCATGTAAGAATACGATAAATTTTTCTCTTATCGCCAAGTGACTAGAATAAGTTGGGTTTTTATTTTGATGTCTTATAAGTTGTATAATTACGTATACAATTTTCAAGCGACGATTTTGAAGCTGTGAAAAACTTGATTCGTAAGGTTTTCACTTTCACGGCGATTGCTGCTAAATTTTGATATTTTAACAAAAATTCTTTATATCCCCTGGAAGCCAATATAATTATGTTAACAAAAATACAACTGAAAAATAGCAATCTACTCAAACTGCGCAGTATACATAGATACTTTCACATTACACAGTTCCACTTAACAACGATCATATGATATGGACATATCTTTGGTTTGAGTGCCTTGCAGTTCACAGTGAGCGTTTCATAGTCATGTTTTTCATAGTTTTTGTTTCATAGTACATGCGTTTCATAGTTGTTTTTTTACATCGTCATTTGTCAGTGTTCATAGTCATGCACTACATAGTCAATTTTTTACATAGTGGAAATGTTACATAGTGGGAATGTTACATAGGATATGTTTAAAATAGTCACAATCTTTCATAGCCCCTTAATATTTCGAAGTCATTAATTGAGCATTTCATAAATCAATTTAGAGTAACGGAGGCTTCCGGATCATTTTTGATCCAATCGAAGCATCTTCATCGTATGTTGTAAAGGTCTAATAACTCTTTATTGATCAGATCCACTCCTGCCTGGTACCGAGAAAACTTAAAACTTAGAAGTAGAAATTCTTGACTGGCCGGGGTTGGGCAAACTTATCATAAATTGCTTTACTTTCGTAGGAACTTGTACCATACCGTGCTCCAAGCCCGGTGTGTTGAATGCATTATAACTTAACAATAAATTTTAAATATTGATATACACATGTTTCAATATTTCTCATATTCAAAAGTTGAAACGAAATTATGATGGAGTCAGTAAGAGAGAACTTGTATTTTTCTCATAAGAAAAGCAGATTCGTCAAAGCTTCGTCAAAATGGAAGCGAGACTACTGGCGTTATTCTAATTGTACGTAAGCAAATAGGTGTTAACAAAATTTGCGCCTAAAGCCAACCGATTTTTCAACAACGGTTTCGAAATAACAAGCAGGTTAAAATGTTTTACTAAACTTATCACCATTTAATTATTGAATAAGCCAATTTGAAAACAAGCGATCTGTCAACCCTCAGTTGAAGTCGACATACACATTTGCGTGACGCAAATTGCGTCAGAAGAAGAGAAAACGCGTAGTAAATTTGAAAGATGGAAAATTTGACCATTTTACAGCCTATTTTTTTCTCCCCGGCTGATGCACCAAGCTTGAGCATTGCAAGATTGATTTTTTTAAGATTTTATACTACTTAATTTTTTGCCCGAGGACGCTAATTTAATCAAAATCGAGGAGCATTCGCTGGGATACCTCCATTCTGAATTTTGTCATTCTGGAAATTTGTAAGGAAATGTGCCCCGGTATTGATAGCAATAATTATATTCAATACCAACTTTTTATGTAATCTGCAAGGAATATTTAAGTTTTTTGAATTTTGCCCAAATCTGCGAAAATTTGAATTTTATCCTTCCGACGCGAGTACATACATATATCGTACAAATATAATGCAAAACTTTTCGGATTCGGCGAAATCCCATCACCAAATAGCATAGAGCATAAATAGATAAGAACTGCAGAATTTTGTTTGCAAAATTTCTCAATGTTAATGTTTTAAGTGCTACATACAGCCGGTATACAAAAGTATTGGTTATTTGCATATTTGTAATTTGCGAATGATCCCGTGCACTTAGAGCTTCGAAACTCTGCACGCAGTTATATAAACTAATTGGTGAATAATCGCTCGTCGCCGATTTTTAAAGTCGTCGACAGGTCAAAGGTCAGAATTTTTTTAGCACTTAAAAATGAGAGGCCAAAAACAAAAGTCCATGGATAATTTTTTTTTGAGTTTCTAATATTTTTTATTGGAAACGGCAAGGTCTTACGAAGAAAATGAGCTATCGTACGACCGTGTACGATTTTTTTGACGCCCACAGGAATTTTTCGCCAAAAAAGTTTTTGAGGCCTAAAATCGCTACCGCGGCGAAATTTAAAGAATTGACATATAAAAAAGCATATATGCACTTTCTATATGTTTTTGTATATTTCAATTCTTTAAATTTCGCCGCGGTCGCGATTTTAGGCCTCAAAAACGTTTTTGGCGAAAAATTCCTGTGGGCGTCAAAAAAATCGTACACGGTCGTACGATAGCTCATTTTCTTCGTAAGACCTTGCAGTTTCCAATAAAAAATATTAGAAACTCAAAAAAAAAATTATCCATGGACTTTTGTTTTTGGCGTCTCATTTTTAAGTGCTAAAAAAATTCTGACCTTTGACCTGTCGACGACTTTAAAAATCGGCGACGAGCGATTAGTCGCCAATTAGTTTATGCAATTGCGTGCAGAGTTCCGAAGCTCTAAGTGCACGGAATCATTCCAAAATTACAAATATGCAAATAACCAATTTCTTTTGTATATCGGGTATACAGATAATAATTAACTAGAGGATAGAATTCCCGTATTAACCTGAACTCCTAAAATGAAGTACAGAATAAATCCAATTGGACAGGACTAAGAACAGGGAAGAATAAAATTTGCATGCATAAATTTAAATACTGTTGTTTGCGTTCCGTACATTTAGCCTATTTAAGTATTCTGCACTTATGATGTACATATCACCATTTATTTAACAATTAAAGACTTTTTTAGTCTTATCTTATATCCTGCTCCACTTGACCTATCGCGTCTCGTTCTGCTTGGTTTGCTGAAGTTCTTCCAGTCCTGTCCAGATTGGGTAGGTGGCGAAATACTGCACAAATTAATTTAAATCTGTTTTGCTTGGAAAATCTTAAATTATTTTCATTAGTTAAGATTTATGCACCTGCATTCTAAAATACATAATCATCTTGCATGGATTTGTCCAGCTCAAGGAGCACCAGTTGATTTCCCGTGCGTCGAATAAGAGCCATGTCTCTAAAGTAAATTACCCATCCATAAATTCATATTTACATATTTCTAAACTTAATCCAGAAAATAATGCCCAGGATTTCCTAGGAATGGTGAGTTTCATGAGAGAAAAATAATTGGTCAAATTAATTTGATTCGTACAGAAAATATGCAATAACTCAAAATAATCAATGTATTTTCTACTTTGATAACCTGTCATAAAAATTATGTAAATATATGCAGATACATATGCGTACCCGACTGACAACCATATTTTGATCAGATTCTGAACTTCAATCCAAAAAAAGAGATGTAAAAAGTTGTCAAAATATTTGTACCAGGAGGCTTTAAAATTTGACGATTGTATTTTGAAGTGTGATATTTGAAAAAAAAAATACTATTATTGTATACGAATATCAGGAAATAATTAGATTTAAAAAGGCAGGGCCATCACATCGGTCTTAATCTGATTAAATCTCACCTGTTGTAACTACTTCCTTGAAGACGAATTGAGAAGTTTCTTCGGGTGAAGGGTCTTTGGATTTCAGGCCAGCGTCGGATCAATTTAAAGTGTAAATCTGATTTTAGAAAATTGAAATTTCAAATTGCAAAATTTCTTAGAATATGTTTTCCAAAAATAATGGAATACAACAGTGACTCTGTGCTGACTGACTAAGAGTCAAATCTGATCTAAATACGTTTGGAAGTTGGGTGGGGCAGAATCTGCCACGTATGTATGTACATACGTTTGTGCAAAAAATGCGTCATCGCATCTTCACCATGACTGGCTAAGGAACTGAGAATGGATAGTTCACCCTTAAAATAAAGGGTCATTCATGAATTTCGTTTAGTATTGAAACCCGAATTATACATACACATGATTACAACTTGTAATTTACAAGTGACACATTTATGTAGATTACATAAATATATATAGTAAAGAGTATATAGTAAAGGAAATAAAATGGCTTATGAAATACCCTCGAAATATGAGACTTTTGTTATTAACTCACATAACTAAATTTATGTATATATGTATGTGCATATGTATATAAGTACATACATACGTACCGTAAATACTCTATTTATAGCCGGGGCTAAAATCCAAAACTGAGGTTCACGGACCCGGCTACAATTAGAGACCGGCTATAATTAGAGACCCGGCTAAATTTTATTCCGCCCAAAATTTTAGATGTTACAAAATCATGCTGACTCAACTTGAGTTTTCTTATTTAGCAAGATTTTCATCAGCAACCCATTCACTTTAAATCCACATCTTTAAACGAGGTTTAGCAGTTTTTTAAAAATTTTCTGTCATGATTATATCCATTATTAACATGAAATTCATAGGCAAAAATTAGTAGTCCAATGTATTCGTTTATTAGCATAAGGGGCAACATTTTCCTTGAATTAGCTATGAACGGGGACAGAGCGGACAAGATAGGCCATAATTAGAGACCTGGCTATAATTGGGGACCCGGCTATAATTAGAGACCCGGCTAAAATTTTGAAATCTTGGTCTTTGGACCCGGCTATATTTGGAGACCGGCTATAATTAGAATAGGGCTATAAATAGAGGTTTTACGGTATGTACATATGTGCATAAGTGTTGCTACAGAAAAATATTATTACCTATGTGACTTAAAGATCGGTCACGATGGTATCGGACTGACGAAATAAAATGCTCAGAACTTTTTACACAGTTAATGCAATTTCAAAAAAGTTGCATATGTTTACTACCAAAGGGTCTGGATTGCCATACAGTTCAAATTTTAATGATTCAATTCCGCTGTCTGCTACAGATTGCAGTTTCTTCTTCCGATTTCGCGTAAAATTCAGCCCATAGACTGCACCTACTTTCAAGCTGATTCTCTTCCATCTGGACTTAAATTTAATTAAGGTGTTTGGCGTTTCTGAAAGCTTAGAATATTTGGACTTAGTCAGCGAGCAGAATTTCTCAATTGGTCGCAGTTGAGGAAAATTTGGTGGGTTTCCATTTTTTTGCACAAATTCAACTTTTTCAGATATCGGTACTGCGTGACCTTTTTGGCGTCATGCGACCATGCGAGGTCAGGCCAAAACAAAACTTTATTTTTTTATGATCTTTAGTAATAAAAGATTCCAATCCCCCTTTAATGCATGATTTAAGATAAACCCCCTGGTTTACAGTGCCCTCCAAAATAACGGGATCGAAAACATGACCAATGCTAGACATGCGTTGCCAAATTCTTCATTTTTTTGGGAATTGGTCTTTCTTTTGGACTTTGTCTACATATTTTACTTCACAGGGGCTGGAACTATGGAAAAATGCCTTCCTGGAAGATTTGAAGTGTCAGCTGTGACGTGGGGCTCATCGTCCATGATGACCACTTTTCCCAGAATATTCTTCAACAATTTCGTCCAGCACGCATGAATCCTTTCCTGTTGTGTTGGTTTGTAATTTGGTGCTGTTTTTTTTGCCCTGGCTATAATCCCTGGTTTATGGACTTTGATTTTGCACAGATAGCTTTTTGAAATCTTGACCTTCCTTGTCGTGGCAGCAGTTGCCGTTGATGAATTATTTTTGAAGATTTTTTTTATACGATTTTTGACTTTTGTCGTCGCTAGCTTTACAGGTCGACCAGTGGGGAGTTTGAATTTGAGTTCATTGGATTCCTCGTACTTTTTTATGTAAGAATTGACATTTGAATGAGGAATACCTTCTTGCTAGAAAAATTGCCAAGTGATTTTAGAATCATAGTTTGTTCGATTTTTATGAAACTGAATCACTCTTTTTCTCAACTCTTGCCTTTCAACCCAAGTTTTCTAGTCTTAGCCATGACTCAATAATTGGTGACATATATCGATGGAAAGCTTATACTTTGGTCTATTCAAAAATAATTTTTTCGAAATTTAATTTCGCTGTGTTCCCGCCTAGCGCACCCTTTACGGGGCAGTCCGATACCATCGTGACCGATCTTTATTTAGAATGAGAACATGCTGACAAGGCTAGGGGTTTAAAAACGTCGTATTTAGAACTTGCATACAGTAGAAGTGTCCCAGCGTCTGCCCTCGGACTTTGACTAAATTGGTCTAAAGCCTTCACAAATTTACTTAAATTGATAATTACAAAAGACACGATCTCCGAAAGCGCACGTTTGACAGAAACATTTGCATTCTAAATTCTAAGAGGAGGACACGTACATCAAATTTGGAAAGAGTAAAACTTGTAAATTTTATGGCAGGTTTTCTCCTCTTTTTATGCAAATATTTCCAAAGCGCATAGTTAGCGTGCTTTTCAAGTTTCATATTACTTAAACTTGTAATCGATGGACATTGGTCTAATCAAAATCTGAAAGCATATAGTGGGATACCGTCATTGCTCGTGAGTATAAGAAAATGGATGAGTATTAGGATGACACATTTATGACCGACTAAAATGGGGCCAAATTCTTATAATATACTTTAAAATCACCATTCTCCTCCCGTACTTTTAGATACATGAACACATTTTTCATACATGTGCATAGTTTTTGTTACTGTACAGTACAACACATTAAATTAGCTGTGAATTAAGACATAAAATAACAGTGTCATATTCCCCGGAACAAAAAGTGTACATACTTCCAATATCCAACTATATATGCATATATCATGTCGTCAGCACAGCATAATTTCACTAAGCTATGTATATATTTCAATTTCCTGCCAGTTAAATATGTATGTATTTACATATGTAATAGAAATAAATACATACATACATACATACAAATCTATCTCACCAGTGGATAACTAATATTAAACTTAATCAGTAACCAATCTACTCATAAGTGCGAGTATTCAAAATTTATAATATTTTAATACGTACATAAATTTATTTAACTTTGAGGACAGAATAATAAATATGTAAATGTATATTTAATCCCTTCTTTTGAGACGGACAGATTTATGTATGTATGAAGCTTTTGTTGAAGAAGACTTGACGAAATTCGATACTTTGTTTTTCCAAATTCTTAACATCCTGGGCGATTAAAAATTGTAGATATGGCGAGGGGGATGCACATTAAGCATGCGCATGCGATCAATTTGGACTACAGCGTGGTCACATCATCCTATTTTTCGATTCTGACATATGTAAATACATATGTATATAAAAAATTGTTCCATCCCGACGTGCCACCATCAGAATTCGCATCGAATTCTGATTGAAGTAGGTGCACGCATTCTGATCGAATGTAGGTTTTGTCGCCTAAGTTGTGTTCGATACGAATTCACGGTGCGCCTTCGATACGAATTCGGGATTCGAACTCGTTCAGAATTCGGTAACCGACCGCGATCGGATTCTGTTCGCGTTCTGATTTAGTACTAATTCACGCATCGAAATCGACTCTGATCAGAATCTCTTCCTATTCCACTTTACGATCGAGATCGGAAGTATAACTGACTCAATAACGAATAAATGCAAATACAAATATTTGAATATACAAATTTTATTTTAGCCAAATCTATAATTTTAATGAATGTAGTATAGGAATTAACAGAAATTCAGTCTTAAATGGTAGCATAATGTACTTAAATAAAAAATCATCTGGTAACAATTCTATTTTAGATAGTTCCGACAGTCCACTAGAAAAAAATATATATAGTTCACTACTATCTATCGGATAATATTCTACACATCGTCTATTCATAAATTCTTGACAAGTGTAATGTGTTATTTCACCAACCTGCTCAAAATTACTTACTATAACTATTTTACCTGATTTTAGCATGTAACAATTACCCCCATTCTTACACATATCTTTAGGCGAAAAATTGACTATTTTTGCCTGATTACACATTGTTATATCTTGATGAACAGCTTCCATTTCCATTATCCTTTTTACAACTTGTTCCAAATGAAAATTATGTGAACTCAATAAGATTTTAATTTTTTGCATAAAACTTTCGAAATGAAATGTACTAGCATTATCCAACTGTCCAAATAATAATGCGTCCTCATTAATATGTAATAACCCATGCACATTATAAACGGCAAATTCATTTCCATATATCTTTATGCAATATTTAACAAATTTCTTTAGCAAATTTTTTGCGGTGGTGTTCCACCCAGGATCATTAGCCTTGGGTGATAGAAGTATATAAAGAGCAGTGTGAAATCTCAGATAATTTTTATATTCTTTAAGGGGTATGATGTACCTAAGGGCTGCTACCCCAGTATATAACAAAAGCGTCCTGAACTCAGTCCCTTTAAAATGGTCAATCTGTAATAACGATCTAGGTTTTCGCTGAAAATCTTTTGGAAAATCTTTACGAAATGCAAATAATCGATTACTAATTAACATGGTTTTTCTAGCAAGAAGTCGAAAGGGAAGACGACCTTTTACCCACATGCGACATAATTTTCTAGTAACGCCTAAACATACTAAATGTAAGTAATCCAGCGGAACTTGAGAAACTAAACCAATTTTAAGTTCGGATAACAAAGTCTCTTTTACATGATGAGATTTCTGAGTTTTTAAGGTAAAACTCTCATCTGTTCTTTTTGTAAAAGTAAGATTCAAAAATGTCACCCGACCATTCCAGTCACCTTGTTCAGTACACCGCTCGCAAGAAAAATAACTATTATGCATCTTCACCCCCTTAACAAAACTACGAGCTGGGGCGTCGGCCAAAATTTTCGAAATTCTAAATCTGTAGTTAGTGCCAGACAAATTGATTCCATTTAATTCTAAAACCTTGCATTCCTCAACAAATTGTTTTAAAAAGTCCAAGTTAGTTGGCTTGTGTTCCGCATAATAAATACCGATCACAAAAGGCGTATTGTTTAAAGAATTATCTACTAATCCTAAAATTGGCCAAAACTGCTTATTCGAGCTTTTGGAAATTGGAATGCCGTCAACTCCTATAGTAATACTAATAACTGGTCCTGACCCTAACATATTTTCAATATTTGTGGCTGTAGTTTTTTTAAGACCAGATTTAACCCTATGCATAACGCCACCGATCACGCCAAAGTAAAAGAATTCTCCGCCACTAACTTTATCAATTTTTAATTTGCGTGGCGTTTTCATCAACGTGCGCGGATCAGTTGGCAAATTATTATTTGGATACGAATTTTTTAAAATAACTAGAAGAGATTTAAGAGCCGATTGTTTCACATTATGGTTAACGGTCCACTGTCGCAGCGCTAGGTCGATTGGAGTAATTGTTAGATTAGGTAAAATTGTGCCTACGTTACTGCTTATAATCTCTAACTTCCCACTATTATTATAAATATCCTCTACTGTGGTACTCGTAACTAACTCTGATGCAACTGATTGCCTAACATTATTAATTCTAATTGGGCTTAAATTTAAAGATTGAGGAACCGGTGGAATTAAATGACTATTAAAACTTGGTTGTCGAATTTCACGCAGAATACGGCACCTCTCTTCTATTCGTTGTCGTTGCCTTGTCCGCTGTAAGCTGCGGCCTGACATGATTGTTTTCCTACTTTTCTTGGATCCTTCTTATTCTTTATCCAGGCTCGAATTTTCACGTCAATTTCACTATTGGTGGTGTATTTTGTATCCTTGTTGAGTCGAACGGACTCTACAGATTTATAATGTACAGTTAGTTTTACGAAAAGTATTGCAACAAAAATACGAGTATTTGTAATATACTTACTGTAAATCAGTTCCAAAATTCGACTTTGTAATCCCACCTCACTTTTTTTTCCTTTGCCAGAGTGACTACAAATCTTTGCCAGTTCCGTCGAAATCAATTCAGACAGAATGCGGTTTGTAATCTCTTCCAGATTTCGTCCACCGAGATTAATTTTTGACACTATTAAATAAATTATTAAAGGTTAGGTGAGATTACGAAAGATTCACATTTCAAGAATAACTGACAGAGTACGTATTTAACTCACCAATGAATTTAAGTGTAACTCGTCCTCATTGATCCAATCAATTAGTCCCTGGAAGTTTTCAAGAGAAGTTGATGGTAGTGGAGGATGCCGAAGTTGCTCAGCAAGGGTGGGTTCGCCTGGAGAAGAAGTTCGGCGCAGCAGTTCGACTAAATTTTCATTTATCTTGACCAATTCCCTTACTAGAACGGTCTGCAGATCTAAACAGATTCAACAGAACTTAATTGGTAATTTACATGAATTTATGAAAGATTTGGTGAAATGTTTTACAAACTTTGAGATTCTGCTTTCAATTCATGAACCAACGTGACCAACTCGGAAATTGTTTCAAAACCTGGAACGTCTACAAGAGAAATATTTGGAATAGCACCAATAGTCGAATCATTCAGGGAATTTGAGTTGTTGACACTTGCGAGGACAATATTTTCAGTTTCTGACTGGATTGTTTCCGCTGCCACAGAATTGCTCGACGACTCACCAGTCCCTAAATCAGTTATTGCACCTATTTCGTAAAAAGATATTATTAAGATTAAATAACTTATTATACTCTACCCCAACTAGTTAACACATTTTTTTATGACTTACATATTGGCACAAATGGGATCCGTGTCTGCTTATCACTTTCTTCGGAGCAGCTCGATAAGCTGCTTTCATCCGTCGACGATTCCTCTTGGTTCCTTTGGGCCGGCTTTTTGAGCGAAGGATTTTTCTTTTTCCCCTTGTGTATTTTTCTTGTTGAAATTTCATCCACCCCGGACGAAAGAGCCTGGTCACTTTTTTTGGCCTGGATAAGACCCACCTTCGCAGATGCTAGGGAATCTAAAAAATTAAAAGCGAATTTAATACTTACATAAAACTGATGTAATTTGAGTGAAACTTACTAAATTCCTGCATAAAATTGCACGAGTACTTTGGCCAGCTAGTTGTGGGAGGATGATTTTTCTTCAAGTGGTCCTCCGAATTCGGACCAATTGGCCATGAGCAACTAGTCTTTGTGTTATCCAACCATGATGAACAAACTATTGCAACTTTATTTTCTTGATAAAAATTAACAACAGAATAATTTTTTAACTTTTTGCTACTCATTCTGAATGGAAGAAAAAATGGACTAAACACACGGTGGCAATGAAAATTGAGTTTCCCTCCTATGTCTGGGGAAGACGGGACGAAGTCGTATCACGGTCGGGATACGCATTCAGATTTTACGTGTGAATCCGAATTCGCTCCGACTTCCCAATTGCGCACCCAGTCCGAATTCGAAATACGTATTCAATCAGAATATGAAACGATGCGGAAATACGAATTCGGCACAAAGTCTGTAAAACCACTTCCGCCCGAAGGCGTCTTTGAGTCGTCTTTTCGAAGTCGGTTTTCAGACACCAATCAGGATTCGATGCGAAGTCGCATACCTGATTCTGATCAAATGATGCATTTCAGAATTCTGGCCTTAGTCGTTATCGAGTCGGCGAATTCGCACGAATCAAATCCGACTTTACTGAATTCGCACAGAATTCGATACGAAAGCGGTGGCATATCGGGATAACATGGTAAGATGAGCCATTGCGATTGGTGCCGGATTAAATTCTCTGAAAATCGACTACTACACCCTGTGTGCACTGTCCATATGTGTACATATGTATGTATGTACATACATACGTTTTGTTCAATTAATTCTTCGAACCGCATTCATATATGTAATTGGGCCCGTCGGAATCATCCAGTGCAATAAACCAATCACTCTTAGATAATGCCAATCAGAGCGAACGGTTGCATACGTAGGCATGTAAATAACGTATATGTTTATGCACATATATATTTAAGTCAGATTATACAACTACGCTTGTATAAATCATTAGTTAATTAATCCTAACCAAATTATTGATAAACACTCATCACTGATGCAACAAACCTGTATGTAAATCTTATGTTATTAGAAACATGGTGTAGTTAAGCAAATATTGATTTCTCGGTAATAAAATTGCTACCGATTGAGATAAAATTCTGTATCCCCGTCCATGAAAATTTAGGAACGATACGGTAATGATTTAATATCGGGCTATTACCACACGGTACTGCTTATGAGGTACTGCATTTCTAAGAGTGTGGTTAACAAATGACTTGAATATTGAATACATGCGTTTATTTAGTGATTCTGCTGGGAAAACACAATTTACGATTTATGCAACTTATCTATAATTGTGGATTATGCACATAGTTTAGCTGGACATAAAAGCGTGATTGATAACTTCGAATTTAGAAAAAATTACATAATCCGAATACTACGTAAAGGTTGGTTTAATTAATCATGACGTAATCGTTATCTATTTAATTCAACGTCTCAATTTCACTGAATTTGGTCCAATGGAAGGATTAATCTTGATTTCAGTTTAATTCTCAAATCCGCAGTTTGACATTAATTTATTCGACGGATTTGTATTTAAAGTGCATTCCGCACTCTGACCAGTGCTTATACGCCACAAGCTCTGACAACTTAACTACTTATAATAATAATAATAATAATAATAATTTATTCGGGAAATTTATTCGAAATAAACTTAACTACTTTACTACGCATTTATTTAAAATATGCATTTCCACCCAGTAAAAATTTTCCTGGTCGCCTTTTTCACCATAATTTCGATAAACGCCCAAAAAGAGACGGGTAAGCTCGTGCTGTCGAACAGGGCCGAGTTTTTGACCTATTTTGCCACCGATGTTCACTGGGATGTCGTCGACGCCGGGCCAGGCGGCGGAATGCCGGTCCAACCTGGCGCCGAGTATTTTTACCTGACCAGATTTGGCGGTCAAGAGGGCGACGAGGGGGGCGAAGTGGAAGAATTTTCATTCATTTTCCACATCAATGAACAGATCTGCGACTTGGTGTCGTTGAGGATGTCGATTCGGTATTGTAACTTCGATACAAAAACGATCATTTGGCCGACCCCGATTTACGGGAGGAGAAATAGCGATGATTTTCACATGTTGAAGTCACACAACTTTTTCGAATGGGATGAAGAAGAGTTTTTACTGGACCATACGGCTGGGATTGTAAGTCATAATTTTTTCGATTCACAAGGAAGATCATGAACATGCGTAAAGAATTCTTTCATTGAGTAGCGCTGTTCCAGCTGTTTTATGTCATCGTTTTGTCCGTCCGTCTGTCCGTCTCAACGCAATCAAACGTTTTTTTCACTATTTTGTTTCAAATTTTTGACCCTCGGTCGACCTTGAAAATGAGCCAGTGTCAGAACCAAGGTTAACCTCATATGAGGTCAAGGGTCAAATTGGACGGTAATTTTTCTAAGTGGTGTATTTTGAATGGAATCTTCACTAGTATGAAAACAATTTTTTTTACCTTTGGCCTCCCAAATCACAAAATTGTACTCTTGTGTAATTTTACATACTGCTGAATGATGTTACTTTTTATGGTAATTTTGACACATTTAATTTCGACAGATTCGCATCAATGGATCGCTTTATATAGATAGTTCATTGTATATTGATGAGATCGTGCTGTGGCATGATGGTCATTATGACTGCATAACGACGACAACTACTGAACCAACTACACCGACAGAAACAACAACAGATGAAGATACGCCAGTAACTGAGCCAACGATCCCAGCAACTTCCATGGAACCTACAACTACCAAACCAACTATAACAACTGAGGAAACGCCAATAGTTGAGGATACCATTGCAACTGGAGAAATTTCGACGACTGAAGCAACTATCACTACACGACCAACTACAACTACTGAACCAAATACACCTACTGAACCAACTACGACTACTGAAGCAACTATCACTACAGGACCAACTACGACGACTGAGCCAACTACAACTACTGAACCTACCACAACCCCTGAACCAACCACAACTACTGAATCAACTTCAACTACTGAGTCAACTACAAGTACTGAACTAACCGCAACAACTGAACCACCTACAACTACTGAACCTACCGCAACCCCTGAACCAACCATAACTAATGAACCAACTACAACAACAGGACCAACTACAACAACAGGCCCAACTACAACAACAGGACCAACTACAACTACTGAACCAACTACACCTACTGAACCAACTACGACTACTGAAGCAACTATCACTACAGGACCAACTACAACTACTGAACCTACCACAACCCCTGAACCAACCACAACTACTGAACCAACTTCAACTACTGAGTCAACTACAAGTACTGAACTAACCGCAACAACTGAACCACCTACAACTACTGAACCTACCGCAACCCCTGAACCAACCATAACTAATGAACCAACTACAACAACAGGACCAACTACAACAACAGGCCCAACTACAACAACAGGACCAACTACAACTACTGAACCAACTACACCTACTGAACCAACTACGACTACTGAAGCAACTATCACTACAGGACCAACTACAACTACTGAACCTACCACAACCCCTAAACCAACCACAACCACCCGTACAACCACAACTACAATAACAACAACTCGTCCAACCACAACTTTACCAACTACAACCACTCGTCCAGCTACAACAACTACAACTACCCGTCCAACAACAACTACACCAACAACAACTACAACTACCCGTCCAACAACAACTACACCAACAACAACTACCCGTCCAACAACAACTACACCGACTACAACCACTCCTCCAACTACAACAACTACAACTACCCGTGCAACAACAACTACAACTACCCGTCCAACCACCACCACCCGTCCCACTACAACCACCCGTCCAACCACCACCACCCGTCCAACCACCACCACCCGTCCAACTACAACTACCCGTCCAACCACCACCACCCGTCCAACTACAACTACCCGTCCAACCAGCACTCTTCTAACGACAACTACCCGTCCAACCACAACTACCACTACCCGTCCAACTACAACAACACCAGCCTACAGTAAAACTCTTTCATCCATACAAATCTATTTAAAACCTAACATAATTAATTTCTCTCTCACAGACAACAACTGCAATCATTACTCCTACTCAATGACGACCTGTCTTGAAAAGGCCTGCTCATTCTGCACACTCCCAACCTACACCCGCTTCCGCTGCGACACCTACCAAAACCTAGAACTCTACGGATGTTCCGGTGGCGTCTGTGGGTCACCCGCTATCAAAGTCTCCATTGACCCCAATCGACCGCCATCCCCCACCCAAACCATGACCCTTTGTCCCAACGAGAACAAAACATTCGAGGTCACCTTCAAACTAGAATCCCATCCCCTCGACGTCTACGTCCTTCTCGATCTGTCCGGTTCCATGGGTGACGACAGGGAAAACCTGATTCGTCTTAGCAACCACCTCGCCTCAGAGATTGCAAAGATATCGACAGATTTCCACCTCGGGTATGGGGCGCACGTGGACAAACCACGTTACCCATTTGGTACTGCGGGATATGAGTAAGTCAAACTCTGCGACTTATAAATAAGTTATAAAAACCGCCTTAACTGAACATTTTTGTGCATTTTGTCGTTCACAGTTACAGTTTCAGGAACCATTTACCTCTCACTCGGGATTCAAGTCGATTCAGCTCAGCCGTTACAGCAAGTACTTTAAAACATGGCGATGACTTCCCAGAAAGTCAATTAGATGGGATGTATCAAATAGCGGCTTGCACAAGTCAGATTGGTTGGAGGGACAACTCCCGCCACCTACTGCTTCTCTTGACGGATGCCAGTTACCACAAGGCGGGAGATGCAAGGGTTAGTCAGGCTGCTATTTTGATGCATTAGCACAGATGTATTATTCCACGAGATACCGAACCATTGAAAAATATCTCAGCATGGAGTGAATTGTGTATAATTAGGGTATTACTCACATTAGAGGTGAGCCGGGTCAAACATTTGAAAAACCGACTTCTGAGCTCGATCCGCCAGTCACGGGTGGGTCGAGTTTCAACCGGCCCGTGACCCGATTCACCTCTAACGCGTGTGGACTTTGCGTCACTCCACCCCAGGTTTCCAGTTAGTATGAGCAGGAGCAGAATTTAGTTTCACACAATAATTTCGAAAATTGGGGAGATTTGCGAGGATCATCTATGTTAACTATTTATATATCTATGTTATTACCCGTGTCTCATCCTACCTCTTGAAACTATGATTATTTTCACAGCCCGCTCTTCAACCTTTCAACCGTGCCTGCTCCCTCGCAGCCAACGGGCTTTACACCGGCGAAAACACATACGACTACCCGTCAGAACAGGATGTCATCGACATTTTCAAAGCCAAGAAAATTACTCCCATCTTCGCAATTACGCGAGACGAAACTCCTCACTATGAAACTCTTAAGCGGAATATTCCAAACTCTGCGATGGGCATATTAAACACAGATTCTTCCAATGTGGTCAACCTTCTCGTGGATCAATACAATAAAATCGAGCAGACCACGAAGCTCGAGCGGGTCGGCGGGGACGACGGAACTTTGAACATTCGCTACTTTTCTTCCTGCAATGGCGGCACGTTACAGGAAACTAATGTCTGCAACGAGCTACGACCCGATGGTACAGTCACGTTTACGATATCCATCAATTTGAAGGACTGTCGTACCAGTGGGACCAACAATTTGGTTCGGATTGAACCGGAAGGATTGCCAACAGCTTTTCAAGTAGCGTTCAACACGATTTGTGCGGAGAACTGGGGATAAAAATGAATAAAGTTAAACCAAATTATATCGAAAACAAAATATTACAAAAATTCGTTCAAAATAAAATCATAAAACTTCGCATGTTTTTCTGCATCTCAATTTTGTAAAATTTTGATTACCATTTCTGAAAGATGATTGATGTTAAAGTTGTTCATCGTACTGACACCAAATTTCACATATCTCGTAAAATTTAGCACATCAACGGCGAAAGCTACAAAATTTTTTCCAAGAAAACCATAACATTTTAGTTAACAAGCCGATGCTCCGTTTTGTGGAAGGGGAAATTTTTTGACACATTCCTTTGAACTCTAAATGGTTCTGCACTCTAAATAAATTTTATTAAAATTTACTCAATTTTGAGTAAAATTGCCACCAAAGCAACTATTGAGTAAAATTTACCTTGAGAAAGGTAAAATTTACCCAAGGGTGAAAGATCTTTGCTCAACCTTGGGTAAATTTTACCTTTGTCAGGGTAAATTTTACTCAATTTTGGTGGCAATTTTACCCAACTTTATTTACAGTGTGCCAAAAATTTGCATATCGTCTGTGACTAAATTCGCATTTTAATACAACCACGCACAAATTGGAAGAGGAATGAATATAACGACAAAACAAAAATAAATGAGACCCATGCATGCAAATTCGTAAGTGACCTGCCAATGCTCAGGCTTGTATCCGAAGAGGAAAATTGTAAATTTGGGAAGTAAATTTTTCACTCTATAATTTTGATTAAAATAATGAATTTGATAAACATTTCCTTAGATTTTTGCTGCTTAATTTTTTTTAAATAAATCAATTGAAAAAACTGGAAAAGGTTTATTTTTAAGTGTTTATAAAATATGTTTTTGTTTTAAGCATACAAGTTTCAAGGGTAGCAATATTTTTAAGAGTGTACAAAATTTTTACGTAGTACTGTTGACCACTTTGTGCATGAATTCCTCATGGATTTGCAATTGTTCTTTGCTGGCATACGCAGAAGAGCAAATCGAACAAGCAAACGGTTTGTTGATATGCATCACTTGAACGTGGGATTTGAGTCTGTATTTATCAGGAAAGTGCCAATGACATCCTAAACGGACAAAATGAATATATTAGTTCTGATTTCTAAAGTACCAACTTCACAAATTTCTCACCTGGCCATTCACACGTAAACTTGGGGCTTGGAATGTGCTTTTCCAAGTGAAGAACATACTTCCTGCTTTTGTCAAATCCTTTTTGGCACGTTGGACAGGTGAACTTTGACTCCTTGTGAATCGGTGGACGTCCACGTCCAATATTTTTCTGAGATCTTTCTCGCTTGAAAAACGAAAAACAAATACAATTTTACAAATTTTGTAATATGAACAATAATTTCCTGCTTTAACGTGCTGGTCATGCCAATTTTCAACATTTAGCAGTCTTAAGGATACCGCGGTACAATTTATGAGTAGACACTTGGTTTGTAAAATATTTCTCAGTTCAGTTCTGTATTTTAAAATATCGGATACAAAATAAGGAAGTAAACTGGAATAAATTTTCGAACAGATACCGATTTCAATAATCCCTCACTTAATTCCGTAGTAAGTAATTTCACTTTAATCTCACTTTTTGGTTAAATTTGGAAGCTTGGATTATGGAGTCTAAAAGTTCTAAAAGTTGAGATTAAAGAATTAATTTCTAATCCGTTCTAATCTTAATCCATAATCTGGGTCGGTTACCTGAACCCTGTTTGCAAATTGGGCAAATGGAGTAAAACTTATTTGTCCCGGGGTCGATTTTGTAGAGCACGTGGTGGTAGCAGGTGTGGCGCAGTATGGATCCACTCCTTCCAGAGGATCGGGACCAATTTTGTCATCCTCCTCGTCATGCAGATCCTCGTCACAGGTGCTCGTCATGATTTCCAGATTGTCAGGGAGGTCATGCATCAAAGTTGTGGGTTTGGAATCTGAGATTTATTTAAGGAACTATTATATTCGAATCCGTCGTGTTAAATAAGTTAACCTAATTTGTAAATTAAATTTTCTAATTGAATTACATTTCTGTATCAACGGCTTAAAATTTGAATTGATTTTATAATTTTAAACCCCAAAATTCAGCAGGAATTTTTTGGAACAAGGGTTGGTAAAAGTCTTGGTAATGCAATTTTTAATGTCAAAATCTTGATAAATGACGTTTGTTGACTACACAAAATCTCGTGATACGAAGGAGTCATGAATACCCTCAATATCTATGTATTAAGCTAATTTTTGAAAACCTTATACCTGGCCATAAATTAAGAGTGGGAATCGCCGTCCGAATTAACAGTCTCCGCACGTCTCCGTACAATTCGGACGGTTGGAAATGTCTCGAGCAGATTGTGTCCCTCAATTCGACGGGTTCCCAATTTGGATCATTTCTCAGCTCCCGAATAATACTAATCCATTTTTCCCGAATGTTTGCATACAATCTAATTCTGGAAAATCTGAATTGAATAAATATTTTAAATTATTACAATTATATTATTACAATAGATGACTATAAAGATAACGTAGTTTATGGTTAAGTAGATACCAATACGTACAAATGGTAGGTTGTGCCTTTTCCACGTTGACTCGAATCACAGCTGGGGACGCAGCAGGCTTTCACACTATGCAAATTTAGAAATCGATGTTATGCATACACGCTTTCATTGCCATTGCTTAGCAATGATTGTTTTACTACATCGTAAATTTTTAATGCAAACCAGTTAAAACTTGATGACTAATTGGAGGTTGAAAATTACGTGCGAATTTGACCCCCAAACTGCTAATTTTCCGGGATTTTTGACAAATTTTTAGCGAAATTCGCCAATTTGCCGCCAATGCCAATGCCAATTTTCGCCAATTTGTAGTTGAAAAACTAATCTCTATAATTCCTAAAGATTCTTTCACAGATTTCCCGACCTGTGTAGGAAATTGTTTTTACCTGGATCACGGAGAATTTTGAAAAATTAGTTTGTCCCTACAAATTGGCGACTTCCGGAAAAATTCATCAAATATGTCAAAATTCAAGAAGAATTTGTATTTTACGGCCAAATTCGGGAAAATTCGCGAAGAATTTACGACCTCCAATTTTTCATCTGGATTTATGTGTAGATTATTGGAAAGTCTGGCTATCAGGTTATCCACGTTCGACGAATAATATTTAATAAATCTTGATTTTATTAAATACTGTTCCAACCTTGTCATGTTTCTAATTTTGGTCGACACGGTCCATGTAGAAGTTCAGATCAGTATCCAAGGAAAAACTGCGGAATTTATTTAAAAATCTTGTTAGAAAGAATAAAATTTAAGCTTGACACATTAAATTTATTGACAATTTTTCATTGAGGGAGTCTAATCTTCTAAAAATTTGGAATTCAAATATTTAGAAAATTTGGTAATGAATTTGTAGTTTTAATTATACGTAATTCCAACTAAGGAAAGTCTAATTTAAATCATTCATAAATTAATAAATACTCGTTATTTACGATTCGTAGGACAAAGATTAATTTAATTTTTATTAACATGAAATACTTTGTACTTAATGACTTGAGTGGACTCTAAATACTTACGGAAGATAAGTTATTGTTCCCAATATTTATGATAGTTCTTTTGCCATTCTTGCTAAATTTGCATTTTCTTATAATACGTTCCTAATTGTTCCATAATTTGTAATTATTCTTATGTAAATCCTATTGAAATAATATTTAATCTTGACCAAACAAATCTGAACTATATTAAATTCCCTTAAACACTGATAATTCGTGTTTTATGTAACCAAAATTTTTATTTTAAACTTGTAATTGTTTGCATTACAATCGGAATACGCAAAATATTAAGGATGAAGAAGGGTTTTCAGCTTTACATGCTTTTCTTTTCACTTTTGTCTTTTGAGAAGATGTTGAGTAAAATCGTGAATTTATTTCGCTCGCCACTTTGTCTCACATGAGGCATTCAAGTTTCATGTACATACATATTTATGTAATTTTAAGTTTTCTAACAATTCGTATCCATTGTATCCTAAAATAGTTTACGCAGATAAAATAAAGGGTCCGGTTTCGTAAAAATTGTTAGCGTATTTAGTAACGTCATATGCGATGAGAAAATCATACCTGCATACAAAATCTCGTTACTGTCGTAAATTATTTTACGATACGAAGAATACTAAGGATACGAAGAAATAATGAATACCCTCATTATATTGCTAAGATTTGCACACTCTGGGTCATAATTGGCATAATTGGCATATGTACATTAAAGCACCGTATCGTAATGAACACTTATACATATATAGGTATATATATGTACCTAGCAGAAACAAAGTACATAGTCTTACCATAAGAAGTGATAGTAGAGCGTAGTTTTTTAACCGGTCAACATAAAATTAAAAGGTCAATTGCGGTTTGTACATACATTCAGTGCCTATCATTGGTGTTGACCGCTTTTACTTGACATCACTAGGTCAAAAGTAGGAGAAGCTTAGCTACACGCGCGCGCCAATAATTTTTCACTTTTTGCACGAGAAAAATATGCACAATGTTTGATGAAGTGTAGCAACCCAAGTACAACTACGATCTGGTTGTCCAAACTATTAAAGTAATCCCAGAGACAGTGTCTATCTATGACATAAAAGTTCCGGTTGTCTAAGGTCATGGAGGACTTCAGTGATGTCCGAAGTTTTAAACACCAGAATAGCATATAATCTCTGTCCGACGCCGGAGACTTTGTCCACATAAATGACCTTTCAACTTTAGAGACCAGATTAGCACTGAAAAGTGACCTTAAGATGATGGTCTTTTGGATTAGAAAGCGTCACATGCTACAAATTTCCCAGGCCAAAGCAAGGGTACAAAAATCGACCTCCCTCCCCAAACGGTACGGTAAAAAAAAACCAAAAAAACTAACCCGTTTACCGATGATAATTTCTTTACGACCGAAACATATTTCAGCAAAAAAACTAATACGTTTTATGCCAAATATTCTAAGGTTTAGCTTATGACAAAATAGAGGTCAAAATGTCATCTTATCAAACTCCATTCATGGTTTTGGCGGGAATCGGCGGAATTGAGCAAAAACAGCCCAATTTCCTTGATTAAGGAGAGGAGATACACTCTTAGCAACTTGGTAAAGAATTTCTAATAAGCATCTTTACCGAGCTCTTGGTAATTACGCGTTCTACAAAAATTACACGGGGTTATTACCGTATCAATACCAGACGGGTAACTAGCCTTCCACCGCAATATTTTAAGCCATCATTATAATTTTGGTAATAAATCCCTACGAGCCGGTAATTATATCCTTCAAATTTAGAAAACACTCTTTACCATAATTTTAATCACGTGCGCTACAAGTTGTGGTGCTGATGAGATCTACATTTTGGTGTAGTTTATTACCATAGAGGTAAGAATTTTAATACATTTGGTATGAATTGTGAGACGCTACACAGTGGCGCGTTTTTCGGTTTTAGTTTCCGCTCAACTCAAGTCAACATGCCGAAACCAATTCTGCCCAACGGAAAAAACTGACAAAAACTTCTGGAAATTATATAGAATTTTTGGAAACAGGTAAGTATCAAATTATCAAATGTAGGTGCCCAATCAAGATGGTGATCTTGATTGGGCACCTACATTTTGCACTGCACCATCTTAATAGGAACTAGTATGTAAATAACAATCTTAAGTTTATTTTTTCAGTGAAGCGAAAATTTGAGTTGGAAATCGGAACGGAGATTTTTCTGCAAGACGACTAGGGGGAGGAGATCGACGACGAAGGTTTCATCAATAATTTACGGTGAGTAATTTATTAAACTTAAATTATTCTTAGTCTGCAACATATCGTATATTTTTAGTTACACATCCTGATGAGTCGCCGATGTCCAATAATGATTTCAGAAGAACCCAAATTTCCAATGATTTTGATATTTTCACTCAGGTTACAATCAGTTAACGGTATTTTTAGCTATCCGAAAATAAATACATAAAATCAATTTTAAATTTTGAAGATTGTAAACGCTGCAGTGACTGAGAGCGTCAAAAGTTTCCGTTTGGTTGCAGAGTGCAATGAGAAAAACTGCGTCGATAAAACGTCGTCGATAACTTTAGTTATGAATTTGTAGCAAAGTTAATAGAGGTGAAAGGGTGAGTCATTAAAGCATTCTTAATATTTAAATATATATTTAATTTGATCAATTAAATTTCAAACTTTCTCTTACAACCTCCGATCAGAAACACTTAAACATTCAGAAACACGCAGCCGCAATAATTAAACTACTACCTTCATCAAGATATTCAGTGGAGGGTCTGGTGAGTGAAAATTCGCGAATTATTTAAATGTGCTCGTGATTGAGAATTTCTAAAATTGTGAATTTTTAATCTGCAGAACATTTTATTTGGTGACGTCCACCGATGTGGACTCATCCAAAATCGATGATTTATCGGAATTTGAAGGGGGAACAGAAGAATAAATATGTAAATATGTATGTATTTATGTAACTCAATAGTTTTCATTATACTCAAATTTTATAATTATGTATGTTTCAAAATGATTTTATAACAAATATAATTGATTAAAAGATTATTGTAAAGAAAAGCAAAAAATCTATTATTTTCGGTGGAAATCTGCACAACATTTGGTAATAATGGGGTATACATAATAAAAAGCATTAATACCGGTATGAATAGCACACCGTGTACAAAGTGGTATGGTTTATTACCAAGTGGTAGACATTGTACTACATTTTGTAGTACATCTGTCATACATCATGGTATTAATTTTATCCCAAAAAGTGTTCTTTATTACCACTTCGGGTTCAATCAATTTCTTTACCAGCTGGTGGTTATTATTACCGTTTCTGCAGAGTCATATACGTGTGCATTTTGGTAATGATTTGGTAATGATTTTATTTAGAGTGTAGTTAAAAAAAATATTTGATAAACGTCCTGGTGAAGATGGAACACCCCCTCAACTAGTCCATATTGGGTGAAAAGCCACCGACCAGTGTGAAGGGGTCCACAGTAACATTTACATCGAAATTCGTGAAAAACTGGATTAAAATCCATATTTCTGCACTCTTAGCAACTTGGTAACAAAACCCAAAAGTTCGTTAACACCAACCGTCGGTGTCAACGTCAATTCCATTAAATGGTGACAAAATGTTGTGTAAAATTGACACTGACGAAGAATAATGCGTTGACACCCTACCGGAATCAGCGATATCTTGAAATGATGTCGAATTGACACCGTGCGATGTTACCGCAGTAAGCAAAACTTGGACTTTACACCAAATTGTGTCAGTCTCTTCGCAATGGACGGGTCTGCTTGGCGGCCATTTTCCTTCCTCGTGTGTTCAATTGATTTCGAGGGAAAAATTGTTTTTTAATAAGTTTAAGGACTACTAAAGTACTTCCAATTTCTTGACTTAGGTGAGTCAATATATGTAACACATTAATTTGCCCTCATTTAATTAAAATTATTTTACTGTGTGTATTTTTATTTTTCAAAACTTATTGTTTCCAGTACAGCTAAAATTCGACGATGGACCCAACGAGGAAGCCAAAAGTGACGAATAAGGATTTGTCCAACCGGCAACCTATTTAATTATTATTAAATATCTTGTTGCTAAGTTAATTTAACTGAAAGATTTACTCATATTTTAGACCATCACCGTGTTAAAAACATATAAGCTTTTTCTTTAAAAGTGCATTAAGGTATGAAGCACAAAGTAGTATTTAATTTGTGCGAGTGTAATAATTTGTTGCTTGTGAATATGTTTGAAATACTTGATTAATTTTGTAAGTGATTAATATTATTGAATGTAAAATAAAACATGTTACTAAAAGTTGTACTTCAGTTGTCACAATCCGGGAACAATTTGTCATCAGGTGGTGACATTCATATATTAAAATACACATATAATGTTACCTAGCAGTGTCGAATCAACATAACTGAGCACAACCTCTTTTCCATTCGCGGTGTTGGTATTGTCACAACGGCATGTTGGGTTGACACCGCAGCGGTGTGCAACATAATTGACACCGCACCGTGTCAATTTGACACCAAACCGGTAGAGTCATATATAGACACCGGCATGGTGTCAATTCGGTATCAATTTTTCTGTGAGTGTGACTTCATTTGCACTTTAGGTTTGACCCTGGCATTTTCGAACCGCAGACAACTTTACCACCAAATATTGATTAAAGTTGAGGAAAAGGTCTGTTTTGAGCCCAATATAAGTGTCAGGGTCAGAAAAAAATGTATGACCCGGGAATGATACACTTTGTCCATTAATTCCGTGCGTTTTTTTGATGGAGCTTTCTCTTTCGTGACCAATTCCTCATTGTCACAGGAGGAATATATTTTTAAGTTTAATACATGTTTTCTACGTGAAATTTAACTGGCTTTTCAATGGAATAGAAATAATTTTGAAATTCCTTAAAACTAACCTAATACGGTCGTCTACTCTACTATCACTTTTTAAGTTGAGACTATGTATTTTCAATGCGGAAGCAACTTACATTTGCAACGGTGCAGGTTATATGCATTTAGACTGAAACCATTTAGACAACTAAAATAACTGGGTTCATTGATCCCTTCATGGAAGAAAAGGGACAGCATTTAAGAAATTTGACCCTTCTTGGGAAAGAATAAGAAAGGTTTAATCCCATTTCCATGTAATTCTTCCAAACTTGGAAATCCACTGCGTGCATACATATCTACTTAAGTTAATATTTGGTCAGTTAGAAGACCTCGAATTTAGGGTAAGGGGCCGTCCAGAAATTAAGTAACGCAAAAATCGCGATTTTCCAGCCGTCCCCTCCCCCTTTAATATGTGTCACATAGGCACGAGATCATTTGAGCCTTAGGGGTGATCCATAAATTATGTCACGCAAAAAAGCCCTTTTTTGGACCCCCCCACCCCTGTTGTCACGCCTTTGTCACGCTCGTCGTGACCCCTCCCCCCCTCTTGTCACGTCACGCCTGAAAATCTGAATTTTTCCAATTGCAAGAATAACATGCATATGTTATATAAAAGAGGAGCGAGTAGTAAATAGGGTGTAATATCAACAGTAACATGGGAATGGTGTATTGTTGTTGTAGTGTTGTTTGTTGAATGGTTATACTGTGTCACCAGGATTTTGCACAAATTAACTTCATTTGGCCGATAATTCATGAAGCCACGCCTTTGTAATAGAAGATGTAGTACAAATTGAGGTTGAAACGAAATATTTCGAGATAACTGAGTGAAACCCGTGTAATTTTACAGGATAGGGACAATTGTTAGCAATTGTTGATACTAACAATGAGGAGGTGCGAGGTGGTTATCGCCGATATCCACGGGACTAATTTTAAATTGTTCACGCTCAAAAATAAGTGGACCCGTATTTTTTCGTTTTTCTGAATGGGCATGTTTACACCCGTGGAGGAATTTTAAAAAAAAAATTCAGCCAAAATTCGGATTTTTAAAAAAGCTGTAACTTTTCGAATTTTAATCCGATTTCAAAAATTAAACCCAATTTGTGTTCAGAATTACGTCCCTGAAAATATAAAAATTCGTTTTTAAAAATTTCAAAAATTTGATATTTTCATGCTATTTCTGAATTTTTAGAAACCAAAAAAACGATAATTTTTTGAAAATTAAAAGTTTTTTAGAAATGAATTTTTATATTTTTAGGGATGTAATTCTGAACGCAAATTGGGTTTAATTTTTGAAATCAGATTAAAATTCGAAAAATTACAGCGTTTTTAAAAATCCGAATTTTGGCTGAATTTGTATTTGAAAATTCCTCCACGGGTGTAAACATGCCCATTCAGAAAAACGAAAAAATACGGGTCGACTTATTTTTGAGCGTGAACAATTTAAAATTAGGCCGGTGGATATCGGCGATAACCACCTCCCACCATCGCATTGTAAGAGGAGGAGGTACGCCTTCCTCTTTGACCGTTTTATTTTTGTTCCCGTCGCAATGGAAACGACGGGGGTGTGGGGCCAGGAGGGGCTCCTCCTCATCAACCAAATTGGCGAGCGGATAGCCGCAAGAACCGGACAGCCCAATGCTGTCACATTCCTCCGCCAAAGAATCTCGCTGGCTGTTCAGCGGGGAAACGTTGCCTCCATTTTAGGGACACTCCCGGAAGGCAAAGAATTGGAAGAGGTGTATTACTTTTAATTTATTTTTTAACTTATTTTGACTTTTTTTAAATGATTTCTTCGTTTTTTATTCAGGTTAGGGATTTTTAATGTACGACTCCTTTGTAGTCAGCTTTTCTGATGTGTAATTTTTGTAATGCGTATGAAATGATAATAAGTGAAATAAAGAAACTAACATATTACTGTTTTTAAACGATTTATGGAAAAATTGTTAGCTCTATTTATACTCATATCACACGCTTGATGGAGTGAAAAGTCATAGCGTGATAGATTTGTGGATAACAACCTTTTTCAAAATTCCTGCTCCTTTTTAAGTATTTTTAGTTTTTAAAAGTTTCAAATCAGGTAAAAAAAATCCGCTAAATTTTTCATGTTTCTTATCTTATTGCGATACATTTTTTTAATTGTTAACATTTTTGAATCATGCAGTTGTCTTTAATTAGTACACATTTTTGAAACTATAAAAAATAGGGTTCTTTCGGAAGAATTTTTTAAATTATGCAAAGTTCTAGAGATTTAGTAATGTTTTTTAATTGTTGAATGAATTTTTGCAAAATTGTAACGATTTTTTGAAATTATGCAGACTTTATGGCATCATGAATTTTTTTTAATTTAATTTTTTTTAATTTGCAAATAGTTGTATATTGTGCAAATTATTTTAAGGTTTGAACAAAACCTAAATCTTGGTTGCAATTTTGGATGCTTTGGACCAAAGATTTGATATCGGTTGGACATATATTTCGAAATAATTGCGAAACTGTAGTTTGGTCATAGTCGGAGAATTAAAATGTGAGGTAAAGTTTGCACTAAGTTAGGCCTGCAAAACGTGATGTCACGGATCGGCCGAACCCCCCCCCCTCCCCATATGTCACACTTTGTCACGGATCCTTGGGACCCCTCCCCCCCATCCTCACCGTGACATAATTTATGGACCACCTCTTAGATCCCCCCCCTCCCCCCTCTCGCGTGACATAATTTATGGACCGTCCCTTATCCTGGCCAATTTTGTTTTTACCAGGCGAAGCCCTCCACGCGAGGACATGTATTTGTGTATACCCTTCGTTCACTCAAGTCCTCCAAGCCCTTTCCTTCAGTCTGCATCCACTCACCAGTCACACTAAAACCTAGGCAAATTTCTCCACCCTGACACCAATATTATTCATCTAAATAATACATACATATACATATAATTAAAGAAATCTGCTGTGCCAAAAAATGATACCTAATATCAACGAAAAAGCGAAACAATTAAACGATTTGGAACCATGGGTGAGTTTAAGACACTTAAAGTTTTTTTTTTAATTTTCTGCTCGCCGGAACATTACACTCCTAGAAATCGAGTATTAATCTAATACCAAGTAGACCACTTGGCGTACCTATGTACGAATACCACTTGAAGTGTAATTCGTACTTATATAATACTCTAGGAAGTCATACGGTGAATGTAGTAACAACCCGGTACTAATTTTTTGCCATATCGGCCACAAAACCGGTATAATTTTAATACCCCGTGGTAACAACGTTAATACAGAGAAGGAATGCCTGATTTCTAAGAGTGTATTTCTTCTACCATTCATACTACATAAATGCATACATATGTAAATCACCAGTACATTTTCAATTATGCGAACTTCGGTAAAATGTAATTATGTTAATTATGATTGCGGCCCCCTTCAGCAACCCATGGTACAGACGTATCATCCCAACGATGCAAAATTGGCCTTTGATACGACCGGGGTTCAAACTGACAAAATTTTTATTCTACGGAAAAGGACCCCATTTCAAGACTACTGCTTCACCCAAGTGTTCTTTCACAAGGATCGCGTCTACGGAAACTCGCCCGTTCTGGATCGCTTCATTGATTTGGAAAAGGGACATTTGTTCGAACTCGCCAATTTGGACGAGTTGAATGAGCTTCATTTCCGTAGGATGTTGGGGGTAAGACACGGTTTCTAGATTTTTTGCATTGCTTGCGGTGCAAATATGAACAATATTACCGTAAGGTAGAGCAGGCCAGGGAACAAAATTACGGTCCATGGTTTTTATTTCTTGTAAAATGAGACATGCTGGGGTCACTTTACCATGTCTCATCTTACGATAAATAAATAAAATTTTGTTCCCTGGTCTGCCCTGTCTTAGGTGGATACGGTAATACCCACTGATAGGTACATAAGAAATATTTGTATAAAATAATATAAAAAATATATAGGAAAACCATTTCTTGCAAATATTTTTTTTTCAGGACAAAAACTGAATGCGATGCTGTTAAATTAAATTTCTTAAATTCCTTATTGAATTTCTTGGTTTCAGTTCTTTTACGGCTATGACATGAACTATGTTGAGGACACGTGTGAGCTCACTGCGCTGTACAAGATGGCGATTCTCTTCATGGTGAAACCCTTGGAGGATTTTTGCTTGGCAAAATTACTCCGTACAACGACTGGAATACCTGCTTCGTCACATTTTGTTGGTGACAAGGTTAACACAGAAAATGAGCAATTTGATAAGGAAACTTCGAAAACTGCTGTGAACCCTGACGGAATCGAGAAGCAAGTTTCAGACGACCAGGAGACACTCGAATCTCAAAATCCAGGGAAACCTGCATCTCAGGTATTGGAAATTACTTACATATACCGTTTACTGAGGGTATTCATTACGGAAAAGTTCGCACGTTCGCAATGAAACATAACTTTTTCGAAATTACGAATTTGCAACGAACCACTTTGCAAATGACAATGTTCGGAAAATTAGGTTCAAATGTTTAGAATTTTGCATTGGGAATAATTCACAAATTTGAAAGACCGTATTTTGTGTCCGAAAATCACCAAGCCATTAAATTTAAAAGGCGTAAAACTTCAGTAACTAATTGAGATTTATAGACTTTTTATAAGTGTCCATCTTTGTGTAAAACATTTTGTGAATTAAATACTATGTTGCCATGGAGATGTGCAAATACGCAAATCAATTCCAAACCAATTTTTTTGCGAACTTTTTTTTGTAACGTTGATGCGAGTCGGAGTACCCACACTGCACCTTAAGCGTGAGTTTATTAGGGGACGCATTTATTTTACTCAATTCAAAACCTTGTAACGAATGGAGATTTAGAGGGTTTTCCAATTGAAAAATTTTCCACTGTAGCGTGACATTTTTACCACCCTGTATATATTACACGACGCGTTTATCTCTATGGTCAGATTTTTGCGTCGATTTTTGTGTCGAGATTTTTTACAAAATTCATCGTTTGTGTCAGTCTGATAATGCACAGGTTGTTTGTTTTTTTTTATCGAGGATATTGCCATGTTGTTAACAAATTTTGCAATAGAATTTTAAAGATTTCGAAAAATTCCTGCATTTACATACATAATTAATTAAATTTTTAATTTTAGAACGAGAAAATCTCTACCCTCAAGGACGACATTATTTCTGAAATGGTCACCACGCTTAAATCCGAGATTCAGCAGGAACTCGCCGCCAGCGTGAAGGACGACCTCAAAAAACTCATTTTGGATGACTTGCGCCCCAATATTGAGCAACGTTTCCTTACCGATGAGGACTTTAAGGATCACATCACCCAAGGAATTATAGCCGTTGCGCGGGAAGAACTAAAAAATGGGGCAAGGAATGACCCCTTTTGCAAGATTGGAGTACAAGCCTTCCTCCAAAATGAGTTTCTGGCAGATATTGATTTCAAACACAAGTTATGCGTCGAATTAAGACCAAAATTTATTTCGGACTTAAAGGACGAGATTTTACCCGAATTAGGGAAAGATATTAAAGACAGGATTTTGGCGGATGAGCAAACCAAGACCGAGCTTGTGGGTCAAATGCGGTCCAAATTTTTGGTAAATGACGACTTCCAAGAGGAGTTGGTTCAACTTTTGACGGATTCTATTCGGTCGGAATTTTCATAAAAATTACGCAAAAAACATAATATTTGTGTGAATTCGAAAATAAGGGTTTTGCATTGAAATTTATTTTCCGTATCAATTGTTTTCTAAATATGTTTCCCAAGTTCACTTTTTGAATGTTGTCCAACTTCAATAAATTCTTGACTGGTTTCCAATTATGTTGGGAATATATGTATGTACATACATTTTAAAATTTTATAGAGAATGCTACACACAATTTCCATACGAGAAAACAAACTTATGAAGTATGTATATAAATTAATTGGGGAAATTTAATAAAACATAATAATTCATCGCACACAAATTTGCATACACACATTTATTTATTTTCCTAGCAAATACCTGTATAAATACATATTTTCATCTACTACATATTCACTTTTTCTTAGATTTCATGCTTTTCTGCTTAAAAGTTCCGCGATAAATGACAGAGTGCAGTGTCCCTTTTCCAAGGCGTATTTAAATTCTGAAATTTAAAAATTGAATATCTAAATTTTTAGTGAAATAATTATCGTTGTTGAACAAGGAAAAGGAGACCATTGATTTTTAATCTGATAGGAATTATCTCGGAGCATGGCGTACGTTACACGTTTGTATCTTTACTCATTACAGCATCTTTAGCAAGAATGCCATTTTCGCAAATATACAAATATGTATTTAGTTTTTAGAGTTGATTTGCTTGCACGTGTCTCCAAGATAACACATGATGATTACCGAAATTACGTCTTCTATGTTAAAAACCACTTGTTTCAATTTAGCGGGTCAACGAGGACATTTATGCACATACATACTCGTAGAAATCAGTATAAAAATAATACCAAGCAACATTCATATTTTTACACCTCTACCAAAATGAAGTGCATATGTACATACATGACTTCGTCATGTTGTTAACATCACATTTTAACCTCACATTTTTAACACTGCAGGGCAGGGTTATGCAGAATGAATGGATTTGAGTCGACCAAAATAACTGGGTTCATTGTTCCCTGAATGGAAGAAAAGGGCAGAATTTAAGAAATGTGACTCTTCAGAACTATGTATGAAGGTGAGCATTATGTATTGGATTATGCAGATAGGTTTAGTCTCAGTTTAAATAATTCTTTCAACTGGGAAATCAACCGCATACCTAAATACAGTATTTGGCCGGGTTAAAGACCTCAGATTCGGAAAAAGGTTTAAATATATTTTAATTGTACACGTTTTTAACCTCTCCTCAAAATATGTACATACAAAATATGTTTTTATATATGTACATGGGGAGCCATGCAGAAGCTATATCCTCTCATCAACCCAACAATGGAAGTTCAATTTGATGCTAATGTGGTCAATAAATACTTTGCTGATGTGTGCACCCGCGACATGTCAATTCCCCAGCCAATTTTACCCTGCAAGCCAGCCCTCCTTGGTGAAAATGTAACGAAGTTCAAGTTTCAAACCATCACATGTGAAACACTAAAAAACGCATGGAAGCAAATTAAGAACAAGAAATCATCATCAACTGACTACTTGGGTATATGTAATAGTATGATTAACTTTTGTATGAAATCACCCTTTTTTGTATCTGAAATGGCAAAGTTGTTTAATGTTTATGTCGAAAGTGGGTCATTACCAGATAGGTTAAAGTTATCAAAAGTGATTCCAATTCCTAAAAAATCGAATCCTACTACATGTAACGATTTACGTCCCATTTCCATTCAACCTGTTTTATCAAAATTATTCGCAAAATGTATTTATGAGCAGCTCTATAATTATTTTGAATCTAACAATATGTTTTTAATCTATCAGTTTGGAGGAAGAAAATGTCATTCAACCACGCATGCGCTAATTGCTTTGACTGATTATGTGTACAAATCATTAGATAATAATATGTTTTGTATCCTAATTGCCTTGGACATTAAGAAGGCCTATGACCGCTGTGACAAAGAGGTCCTACTGCATAAGTTAAGATGGTATGGTATTGACGAAAACATTATTAACTCATTTTTAAGTGATAGAAAGCAATTTGTTTGTTTACGGTGTAAAAATGGTTGTCATACGTCTGATACTTTACCCACTAATGTAGGAGTCGCCCAAGGGTTATGCTTGAGCTGTTTTCTGTTCTTAGTCATGATGAATGACCTACCATTATGTATAAAAAATTCTCTATGTATTAAATTTGTTGATGACACGGGAATTATAATATCAGGTGAATTATGTAACATTGCACGAATAGTTGATATGATTGAGAATGATTTGGTGAATATATGTACATGGATGAAAAGCAAAAGATTGGAATTAAATAATGATAAATGTGAAATGATGATGATATGTAATAAGAAATCTGTAAAGTATGTCGAAGATGTTGTTGTAAATTTGGAGGGTAAGCTCATGAAAAAGGTTAAACATATAAAAATGCTGGGTGTGTGCATTGATTATGAGTTAAAATTTAAGCTACATTGTGAGAAAGTAACTGAAAAATGTAATTATGCTTTATGGTCCCTAAATCCATTGAAATGTATCCTTGATATTAAACACAAGATTATTGTTGTACAAGCGTTAGTTATGTCAATTATAAAATACGCGTGTCCTGTTTGGTTGGTGGGGAGTAATAATTTGAAATGTGTTGACAATATTATTAGAAAATGTGCCAGATTTATTTATAATAAGAGTAAGTTTGACAATATTTCTGATGAAATCAATGTCGATTTGGAATGGTTGAATGCCACAAATTGTTGTAAATTTGAAATAATTAAACTTGCGGTTAATATGAATAATAATGTATGCCCGAAATATTTCTACCAGTACTTGTGTCATGATGAGAGAGAGATTCGGTCAACACGAAGGTCGGATTACGTAGAGCCAAATATATTGTATCATAATGGTATCATGAAAAAGTCGTTCTTATTTAGGGCATCAAAATTATGGTTAAATCTACCTGTGGTTATATCTGAGAAATCCAATAATATGAGCATGATTGAATTTAAAAAACAAGTGAAAGATATGCTTTTAAATGTACAGCGAACTGATAGAATAATTGAACTATTTGAAATTATTGATAACCATGAAATGACTTAAAGTATAACTGAATGCTTGTTGGTATATATCGTATGTATTATTTGTTATATGTGTATGTATGGTATGACATTGTTTGCCTTGAGGTGTAAGGTCCCAGTAATGGGGTGCCTCATTGAAATATAATAAATAAATAAATAAAAATACATATGTATACGTACATACATGAATGTAACTAACTATCCAGTCCTCAAATCCCTTCAGTCTTCATTCACTTACCACTCATATCACAACCTTGAAGAATTTCGAAATATTATTTCTCTACATAACTAACTCAATAAATTTGCTGATTAAAATGGTAACAAATGTGAACATGGGAGCGGAAAAATTAGACGATTCGTCTGAAACCTGGGTGAGTTCTATTAATATTAAAAACAACAATAATTTAATTTTCCATCCACTCTTATAAAAATTATGTTACAATTTTGAAAAGTAAAGGGTGTGGTACCATTTGATTTCATAGCGTCATTGCAATTGCAAAAAAATGGAATTAAGTCATTTTTTGTATTTTTTTTATTTTTTTGCACTTCACGATAATAAACTTCTTTAACACAAGTTATGTATGCCCCCTTTTCAGCCCCCTATCCCACAAATGTTGCATCCCCACGATGCAAAATTGGCCTTTGACACGACTGTTGATAAAAGTGACGCGTGCTACTTCACTCTGCGCGGCACGACGCCCTTCGGCGCGGACTGCTTCACGAATCTGTACTTTCATAAGAGTTGCGTCTATGGAAAATCCCCCATTTTAGACCCCTTCATCGACGCGCAGAATGGAAATTTGTTTGAGGATGTCCATTTGAAAGATTTGAACGAGCTCCATTTCCGCAGAATGCTGGGGGTAAGGCGAGACCTATGTTTGACTTTTTGACTTTCCATATTGAATTTGATCATGAGAAATTCGCACTCTTTGGAAACTTTTTAAAATCCTTAAATTTTGTAAAATAATTTTACGAATATTAAACAAAAACACGCCTTTCATCTGAGTAAACAATTTGTAAGGTAATTTGCCTGAGAAATATGTAGATATTTGTTAACGCTGATACATAAATTTACGGATTTTACAAAGTTACCAAAGAATACATTTGTGAATTGCTCGAATTTACATAAATTTCTTTAATTCCTTATTAAATTTCTTGGTTCTAGTTCTTTTACGACTATGATATGAACTACATTGAGGACAAATATGAACTTGCGGCCCTGTACAAGATGGCGATCCTCTTTATGGTCAAATCCGTGGAGGATTTCTGCTTAACAAAATTACTCCGTCCAACGACTTCCTTGCAATCGTCATCTGATCAGGTCAACCAAGAGGATGAGGAAATTGACAAGGAAATTTCAAATGTGATTTCTCCAAAAAACTTCTGTGGCGAAATCGAGAAGCAAATTTCAAATCACGTGGAGACCCAAGAATCCCCAAATTGTGAAAAACCTGCATCGTTGGTACGATTATTTGTATTTTTATATATATTCGGTTAGATTTTTGTACCAATTCTTGTACCGAAATCTTTTCAAAATCAGTTGTTAGTGTCAATCAGATAATGCGCAGGTTCTTATCGTGGATATTTCCATCTTCGAAATATGTAATTTTGTAGAAAATACATGTTTGCGCTAGAATGCAACACATCGCAAAATATTTCTCTGCACTTAATTAATTCAATTTTTAATTTTAGAAGGAGAAAACCATCGTGATCTCGAACCTAAAGGATGACATTATTTCTGAAATGGTTACCACCCTTAAATTCGAGATCCAACAGGAACTCGCTGCAAGCGTGAAGGACGACCTCAAAAAACTCATTTCGGATGACTTACTCCCCAATATTGAACAACGTTTCCGTGCTGATGCAGACTTTAAGGATCACATCACCCAAGGAATTATCGCCGTTGTGCGGGAAGAATTAAATAATGAAATGAGGAATGACACCTTTAGCAAGGTTCGGCTGCAAGCAATCCTTCAAACTGAGCTTTATGACGATGATGATTTCCAACACAAGTTATGCGTCGAATTAAGGAAACAATTAGTTTCGGACATGAAGGATGAGATTTTGCCGGAAATGGGGAAAAATATCAAAGCCAGGATTTTGACGGACGAGCGAACCAAGACCCAGCTCTTGGGGCTAATGCGGTCCAAATTTTTGGTAAATGAGGATTTTCAAGAGGAGTTGATGCAACATTTGAAGGTTTCTATTAGGAAAGAATTTTCATAAAAATTATGCAAAAAATATATAAAATTTTTGAAGGGAGTCGAAACAAAGGGTTTTTTAACTAACTTTTATATCGAAATTTATGTGCTACCCGTATCATTTTTTTTCATAAATACGCATCCCAACTTTACTTTTTTGAATGCTGTCTCACTTCAGCAAATTGTTCTTTGGTTTCCAATTATGTTGCGAATATGTTTGTATCTAAACATATTTTATACAGAATGATACACACAATTTTCATACGGGAACGCAAATTTATTGTGAAAATTAATTGGAAAAATTAAATAAAAATTAATTACTTGTATAATTATGTACATACATTCATGCATTTATTTATTTATTTTCCTACCAAATACCAATGTATGTATGCATAAACACATATTTGCATCTACTATTTAGAGACTCACTTCTTCTTAGATTTCTTATTTTTCTTCTTCATCTTCCTGATCTGGATTAAACTAAAGATTAGAAGTTCTACGATAAAGGCCAAGAAGCTGACGAGCAGTCCAGCCCCTAAGAAATAAAAGATCCCTAGCAAAGATTCAAATTCCAGGGATTTTATCGCATTCGGATCTCTCGCCTTGGCCAAATATTTCTTATTTTGTTTCAACGCTATGACATCGGGCGAGTAGAGCCTCGCAGCTTTAAAGATGAAGCCATTGGATCGAAAAATCATGAAAAGATGGTCCACATAGTCCTTCAGGACTTTATCGACGTCCTTCCTTATCACCCAGCCAGACGGACCGATAAGAAATGACGCCTTTGAAAACCGCAACAAGGGTTTTAACTTCCCACCGGAAAAAATTGTAAAGTTGCTGTTAATCACGAATTTTGCGCGAGAAAACTCGGACAGAGTGCAGTGACCGGTATCCAAGGCGTATTTAAATTCTGGAAGAGGAAAATACAAAATTATTTAGAAATATGTATTTATCATTTATCAGTATTGCATAATTGTAAGGACAATTGATTTTTAATCGGAAATAAGTTAAAACAATCTGGATTTCAGCCATTTCGCTACAAAGCTGCTAATTAATTAAATTTTCGGGAACAATAGCCATTCTCACAGGGCAATTGTCTGGATTTACATAAGGTACAAAATGAGCCAAAAGTACAATCTCTTTTCGCGTCGATTTCACCGAATTTCCCAGAAAAAATCCAAAATTTATTTTTGGGTAGAAACATCAATATACCATAGGTATTTTCGAATTATATGCAACCACCCCCCCTTCAAAAATTGTTAAAGAAAATTGTTAAAAATGAGAAAGTCAATGTACACTCGGCACAAAAAGAATAAGACCCCAACTTGCATTTGCAATTTGACTTCCCCCTGGAATACGAACATTTTGATGCATCAAGAGTTTCAAAATTCGAAAATTGGCGGTTTTGTTACCTACACATAAAGCCTTAAAAAAGTCATGGTCCCAGCCATTTTCCGACTGACAACCTGATGCCAGAATTTTCTCCTTCGGATGGGGTGCATTTTCAGCTTTTGTTGTCCGAAGAGAAATGCCTTGGACCATGAGATTTTTGGGGTCAAAGTTTCTGTGGGAGTGACTTATACGGCAAGTGCCGTAACAAACGAGGGCTAACGATATACCAACATTTAAGTTTTTTGTATTTTAATAAGACAACATTTAAGTAACCCAGTATAGTTAAGTAAATTAGACGCATGATTGAGTGAGCGCGACAAAGCGAGACGGATACGGCACTGACGCGCGATAGTGGCGGATACCCACCAGAATCTCACTCTGTCTCACGCAAAATATGGAAAAGAGCTTTGTAGTACACTTGGTCTGGTTTGTATCATAACACTCAATCTGACCTTTTTGATCCTGGACTCCCGCCAGCCCACCGGAAGTTCCAAGAATGTCAAAGTTTCCGCTCAGTAACTTCTGCTCCGTTAGGTACGTAGAGCTTTCCAGTGTCTAAAATATCAGGAGTATAATTAACCCGAAATCCAATCAGGTTGGCATTATGCCTCATTTGCATAATCTCACTATGCCCATTTTCGGTGAGACCGGCTTCCCACCCATGTTTAACACATAAACTTATTCGACTTGGCTAGCTTACATACTCTCCATTCGCACTGAATTGAACTTTTACAGAAATTGATAATTCTGAGAAACTACGCCACTGCCAGTCTCAAGGTACCCCATCATCATAATTCGAGGGAATTTGAGACTGAGAGTGCCGTACATAGTTTCTCATAATTCTAAATTTCTATAAAAGCTTAACTCTGTGCGAATGGAGAGTATGTCTCTTACCAATCGTCAAAATATGCAAATGTGGAGACTAGCACAAATAATTTGACTATACCTGCTTCACTAGGCCCGACATTGTCCAATCCTTTTCCCGCTTGAGGAGATCCTTAAAACTGTCGATGGGGCGTTCCTTCGCAGGATAGGACAACTTCCCGATAAGAAGTGAGCTGTAAAACGAACTCAAGAGAAAGCCGAACATAAGCCAAAATCCGATGAAACATTGATACCCGATTCTCGGTGAGGATAGTCTTATCGGGATAGACTTTTGGAAAATGGGGCCCAAACAATCGATCCATGTGAGCCAAATTTTTCTAATTTTTACAACCTTCCTCGGAAACCATCCTTCACCCCAGCGTTTCCGCGGTTTGAAGAAAAAGCGGACAATCAGCAGTAAAACGTGGTTCAGTATTAGCCCGGAGGATAAAGCGATTATTGAGCTAATCCACACATAGATTTTGAAAGGGGCCAATAACACCATCCATTTAGGGAGAAGGGCGGGAACTGGGCAGACAATTTTGCCGGAAAAGAGTGCCATAGCTGGGCTAAATTGCAGGCCCTAAATGGACAAAAATGTAGTTACATATGTAGATCTGCAGTGGGTCGTCTGTACATACATATTTAGGTGTTCATCTTCATTCAGAAAATAAAATATTCATAAAATCAGGGCACTGCCTAATTGAAGAAATTCACCATCACTGGGAAAGGATCAGGACTTCTTGTATTAGAAAAAACCCGAATAAAAATAGTGTATGTACATAAACCGTCTTACACGTTTAATGACACCAACAAAAAAATGGGAAAGTGCACGAAAATGTATAAAAATCAGTCAAGTGGAAATATTGCTATTTGTCTGAATAGGTATTTGATCAATCAACAAATCGCTGTGTCGTATTTCCCTCATCATAAATATGAAAAATGAATACAAATTTTAAAAGATTCGTAAAATCGACTCACCGACTCGTGTCTCGCATGAGTAAATATCATCTTTCCCATGCCAAGATCCGCGCCTCTTTTAAGAACTTCTCCCACCACTCCGGACCAATGACCACTCTTGAGTTTTTTACCAAACTCGGAGTCTTCTACTTCAAAGTAGGAAGCGTCGACTTGGAATTTATCCAGCAGCATCTAAATAAATATAAATATTTGCATATTCAAATAGACAAGCTAATTATAAATACATAACAGGGCTTTCTAATTAATTAGTGAATCTAATGAAATACCATGTTTAAACTAATTATTAATTACTAATGAACCTTAACTAGCACTACCGAAGCTAATTTTAATTACTAATTAATTAGAAAATCACCAATTAATTGGTCAATATTCTAATTAATTAGCTAATTAATTGGCTTAATTAGCAATCTAAGTTTAATTACTAATTACCAATTAATTAGACAAAATATTTTCCTTCTAATTATCAATTACTAATTAAATAGAAACGTGGCTAATCAATAAGCTCTGTGTACATATGCGCTCGACTTATTTCTAAAATTGTGTCTAATTAGGTTTTGACTACATACATCAAGGAGGAAAGCATCAATCCCGGTGGCCGTATCGTTCTCGATTCGGATCATCGGTAACAAATTAGAACTTGCAAGTGCGACTCGAATTATTCCACCGGGACGAATATGTCCTAATTTTATCTCCAGCTGGCTATTTCTCCAAAAACCGAAATTCTGCGACCAAACCTCGTGTAAAATCGGAGTTCCGCCAGGTAACCAATTTGGCGTAAATGTCAGGAGCTATAAATATATCAAACCTTAGCTTTGTCAGTAACAAGTTCTACATTAAAGGGTAGCATTATTTTTAAGAGTGTATGTATGTACCTGATACGTTGGTGACCCGTCCCTCAGTGTAGACCCGTTAAACATCCGAATTATCGTGATATGACTTTTCATCCCTTTCATAATCAATTTTGCCTCATTCATCACGGGAATTGTAAAGTTTTCTCCGTTGTCACCCTCATAAAAAGAGTCCGGTTTCAAGGTGTTCGTCATTTCTGCATGTTCAAAAAATTGTAATTGAAATTTTTGAAATTGAAGCAAAAATTGATGTGGGGTACAAAATCTACCACACATAAATTCACATGTCCACAAATTTATATTTTTCCATGTACCGTCTTCTATATACACGAAACTTCTCCGGTTAAACCGAATAATTCCATGGGTCAGTAAATTCTTAAATAACGGTCTCGAATTTCCCGTCCTGCACGTCGACTTTGTCTGACAACAGACAATTATTGTCGTGCAGGTGGCAAACGAAGATGAATCCGCGTCCCCAAACACGCCACGTGTCATGTTATACGCTGGTGACTCTAAATTAATCGTGTGATAAGGTTGCAACACCATATTTTGCATCCAAACACTCATCGAATCCTGGAAATAGTTGTCACTCACGAAGACAACGCCACAATTGGGAACGTATTTTGTAGTAATTTGCGCGAGAAGTTCGCCCATTTCGGGATGTGCTAGAATAAAAATATTTATGAAAGAAGTAATGAACAGAAATGTTATGATGAAGGTGTATTATGTGCTATTCTATTTTTTCAGTGTTTTCTGAAAAAAAAACACATTCATTTTTGAAAAAAAAACTTATTGAATTCGTACTTTCAAAGCCATCCTGCCACCCAGCAACACTAGTAATTCTGCAAGTAGTAATTATAATTTCCCAGAAAATTGGAACCCGTAGGAGAAAATACTTTTGGTTCATTTTTAGTTTTGGTTTGATATAATTTTTTGAACAGAAATATGTAGGTTATCAATGAGTAATTTAAACGTGTCGATGTGAAGTTTTCAAAATAGAATTTAAATAAATTTAAATATGTCCCGAGGAGTTTCTCTTTTTCGATTTTTAAGAATATGTACATATATGAACATGAATACATTTAAATATGACTAATCCTAAGCGCGGCAATGTATGTATGTAACGCAATAAATCGATTACTGAGGCAATTCACGCAGTCATTGGCGACTTTGTAAAATCCGTCAAGATTTTACCATCATATAACAAAC